TATTGTGGAGAGGATGTCTGATATTTGGAATTTATCCAAATTTTATTCAAAAATGTAATAAAGTTTTTAAACGTGGCTGAACAGTGAAACAGCAGCACTGGGTTATGGCTTTGAATCTCTGCATGTGGCCTTTTCTCTGGGTGCTCAGGCTTCCTCACTCAAAATCCAAAAACATGACTAAGGTTGACACACGGGTAGGGCTGGGTGGCGAACATCGGTTCTTTTATGGTACCGACCGAAATGCTTCGGTTCTACAGAGTATCCAAACATGCCTCGTCTTTCGGTACCAAGTTTCGGTGATTGGCTGTAACGCTTAACGTGATTGCGTCATCCAGGAAAAATACACAAGTGGTCACGCCTACAGCCAGGGTTCTTGTGTATCTGTTGTGAACTGGTTGCGAGCGTCGTGGAACCCCTTTAAAATGCCCCCCAGGTCAAAAGTGTGGCTTCACTTTATTAAGACTGACGCCAATAGTGCGCAATGCAATACATCGCGCACGGAAACAATTTAAGAGCAGAAAGTTGCTCGGTGTTTGACTGCAAGAAGAGCGGACCGCAGCCGGCGCGACCATCCCCCTCTCAGCAGCAAGAGCAGCAAAATCGCGTCTGCTGCTTCCTTTTTGCTGCTCTCTGACGCACGTTGGGCGGAGCTACTCTATCCTTTCTCTGCCTTGCAGCTATATTTGCTGTGATCAGTGGGAATAAAGTAGTTTAGTTATGTTTTTAAGTGGGAGAATCCACCTGAAAACTTAATCAGTGCAGTCATTTCATCCAGATTACCATCCTGCCTTCCAATATTGTTTCTGTCAGAGCTGCTCAGAGCCCCACATACCAGCGGTGCGCTGTCAGTAGGAATCCCATTCAACGAGCTTGTTTGTCTCCTGAGAAAGCAGACGTTAATTTTTCTAAAGAAAAACTGCTAAGTAAAAAGGTCCTTACAATGTAACAGTGAATATTAGACACTGACTTGTTTGCAACTGTTCTTCTTCACTGAAAAAAATATTTTTATGTAAGAGGAAAAATGTAAATGGAAAAATCAGAGCTTAAAATAAAACTCAAGATTTGTACTTTTTTTATGTTGAGTAATTTTCTTTTTCTTCTAATTGATATTATAAAACTGGTATCGAAAAAAGCATCATTCAGGAACCGGTATCGAAGTGAAGGTATCGGTATTGGTACCGGCACCGAACATTTTTGAACAATACCCAGCCCTCACACACGGGGGACTAAATTCCCCCGTGTGTGAGGGTGTGAATGAATTGGAGACAAAAATGATAGATTCATTTATCTGAAGTTAATTCATCTAATGTTTTCTATATACAGATTTTTTTCACAGTTTATTGTGCAGGCTATTAAATACTGGTAGAAGCAACTATACCTGTTAAACTATATTTTTGGTTAAACTGACTCATAAGATCAAACAAAACAGATTACTTAATAGAAAAGGATAAATAAAACTTTTAAAGCACTAATATTTGAGTCAGTAACGGACAGGATATGTCACTGCAATAGTTGTCAGGCTATCTGTTACTTATTTTAAATATATTTGAGGTTAACTGTGATACAGCTCTCAGTTTTTAGTATAATGAACTATCAGTGCAGGGAGACACTTTGTGCTGCTCAAGGTACTTATAAACAGGCGGTTCTGGTTCTGGATGCTCTGGGAGAAATGTTGAAACGGTAAGAATAATCCGGACTGGACTTTGGACCAATTAATGTGTCTGTCCATTCTGGATTGACTTTTCTTGCAAACAACAACAAGGCTTTTCTTAGTTCTGCCTTAGTGGTGGATGTTGGTAACACTACAACACTGAAAGATAGAGCCTATCCTTGTAGGATGACAAATCATAAACACATCCCTTATGTTGGGTGTTTTCCACTGGGCTTTAAAACAATAATTATCAAAACATTTTTGAAAAAGAGAAACCTGGACAAATTAGTCCTGCAGAACTACAGACCACTCTCAAATCGCCCCTTTATCACTGAATTTTTTGAAAAAATGTTTCAACAGTTAAATGTCTTCTTCACAATGACCAGCTGCTTTGATGTCTTCCAGTCAGGTTTCCATGCCAACCACAATACTTAGACTGCCCAGTTTAAGGTGTTTGATGGTATTAGTATAATTTCAGACTCTGGAAGAACCGCAGGGCTGATATTATTGCACCTCAGTGCAGCATTTGATACTGTTGGTCACTTGATCTTATTAAGAGCGTCTGGAAAACTGGGTCTGCCTTTCTGAAACATCGCTGGGCTGGTTTAAATCGCACTTAAAGATTAGAGAATTTTATGTGTCTTTAGGAAACTTTAAATCAGAGACCAGAAAAAACACATGCAGGGTTCCTCACAGCTCCTTTCTGCTTCCCCTTCTATTCAATATCTACATGCTCCCTCTAGCTCAGATTATAGTAAACACCTACATCAGTTACCATACACAGCTTTACATCACAATGTCACCATGTGACTATGAACCATTGAGAGCGTTGCTACATGCTTAGAACAGATCAATATGTGGATGCAGCATAATTTTCTTCAAATGGAAATAACAAAAATGATCCAAATTTAGCTCACAGCTTCAGTTACTTCAGCTAGAAACCAGTAATTATGGCTGAAATTTTGGTGTCATGATGGAAAAGGCTCTCTGGATCCCTTCGTCTAGAAAAATGTTAAATCCACAAAACAGCAACAGCCATTATTTACTGCTCTATGGACCAAAGCATGACTTTCTTTGACTTATATCATTCTTCTAATGGGAAATGTATGAAATGTTACCACCTCCTTATATAACATCAAAAGAGAAGTAAATCTAAAATACCTTTAACTTAACCAGTGGCTGAACTCCACGATGTAGTAGATTTAATACTACTACATAGGGCTGGGTTAAAAAAATCGATTTAATCGATTTGAATCAATTTCCCTTTCAATAGCCCGATATCGATTCATAAAAACCATAAATCGATCCATTATAATACGTCTTTCCATACATTCATGACTTCTCGCGTCCCGCGAGATCTCGTCACTGCGCGAGAGGAGCGCACAAAAACAATATGGCGGAAGCTCTGAAATCAACGCCAAGAAGTTTGAAGGCAGATGTCTGGAAATATTTTGGATTTAAAAAACAAAATGACAGCAGTGAACTGGATAAGAGCAAAACGGTTTGCAAGATTTGCTACGCAGAAGTGAGGTAATGTGGAAACACAACTAATCTTCGAAACCATTTAACGAGAAACCACTCAGCACAAACACAATCTGATTCAGCCCCGAGGCAAATGCAGCTCGAGAAGGTATTTGATATCAAATAACCAGCAAACTCCCCGCGTGCCCAGAAAAAAACTAAGGCTATCGTTATATACATCTGCAAAGACTTACAACCATACTGCGCGGTTGAAAATGAAGGGTTCCGTGGCCTTATGAAGACACTGGAGCCACGCTACGTTATACCCTCACGCAAACAGTTTAGTGAGGTAATAATCTGAAACATGTACGCACTATTCATTGCGTTTGTTGCCACTTTATTTACACAGCCTGCTGTGTGGTTTGAGTTGATTTGGTCAGGTCATGTTAAATAAAACATACATGATTAATGTAACTGCGTTGGGTTTAACTCCTAATGTAAATATGTAAATTTTTTAGTAATGCTCCAAGTCTGAGCTAGAAGTTTCTACTATTTGCAGCATTGGTTCTTCTGAGAATGTCTTCCATATCAAGGAAACGAAAAAATAATTGTGAATCGAATCGAATCAATTTGGAAAATCTGAATCGATACCCAGCCCTACTACTACAAACATACAGGTTTACTTTACTTACACCAGTTTTTTCTTTATAGAACATTTATTCAAGGACCTGATTAGAAACTCAGTCTAACCTAAAGAATCTGTTGGAAAGAGCTGAATACTTTATCATCATCATCATCAAAGCAGCCTTTCTTTCATCTTCAGACATAATCGCTTTGCCATGTTGCTTTCTAAAGGTGTTTTTGATACAATAAAAGAAATATTATGTCAAGAAAGCTCAGCGTAGTTATTACACTTCTTTCAACTGTGAAGGTCAACCTGAAAAAACCTGCAGTGACTCTGGATGTGACTCAAACACATTTATGTTCAGGAAAGTTTGCTTTTAATCTGTAATTTAGACCCAAAGGTGACCCAGCTCCTCAGAGCGAGCAATCACACAGCAGATAACAGCACTGAGGGTTCTAATGATTTATAATCTAGATTAATAATCTTATTCTGCTGAGTAAACAGTTCATTCTCAGCTTCAATGAAGACAGCAAATACATGCATCTCCTACTTCTAACATCTCTAGAAAATAAAACTAAATTATTGAAAAAAAATAATAAATCAAACGACTCAGGCCTAAATAATTAAGAAAAACATTTTCAACTCGTTTACAGAGAAAAACCTTTGATCAAAATCTGTGCAAGCTTAACTCAGAGGCTGACATACACCTGAACCATCTCCCAGCCATATAAAGGGGAATTATTCGAACTTCAACCTTTTCTAACATGACACTACGGCTTGCTGAACATGAGGAATGGCAGACAGTTGTACTCTGAGCCTAAAAACTTCGACATGAAATGAAGCTCATTCGTTTAGTGAGCTTGTTTGGAAGCTAAAGGATGTTTCTGTGTCTTAAAGGACAAAAATCCTCCATTATTTACAGAAATATGTGTCTTAACAGCTAGAACAGCCTCAATGTTTACAAGGTCAGTTTGTTTTCCACAATAATGTCTCCCTAGCTTAAAACTCACGCTAGGATGTCAAACAAGATTAAACTTCCCTCCATGGTGTTGCTGGTGGATCTTAGTTCTTTTTTTTAACTAAACAAAAACATAACTGGCTGCAAACTGCACTGCAAGTGCAGCAAACACCAGCTCTGGCTATCATTTCATGGCATTAAACAAAGGTAGCATACACCAATCTCCAGAAACAGGTGGGGTTGGTTCCTTTGAAGCCTGGGCTTAAAGCTGGAAGGAGCTCAGAGGGCTGGAACCGTTTACTGACCTTGATCAGACAGGAAATCCAGCATGGTCTGCAGCAGGAAGGACAGGTGGCGCACAGACAGGCCCGGGTTGCCCATGCGGCGGGAGGCGTACACCAGCTCGTGCAGCAGGCGCATCTGTACAGCAGCCCAGCCTCTGTGGGTGCCTGAGAGAGGGATGACAGAGAGAGGGACACAGTCAGACTCAATGCTGACATCTTTCATGTAACATCACTGAAAAATCCCATCATAATGTTCATGATGGCGCAGAGCTACACACGGAACAACAGCCTTCCACTTTCATCAATCATCTAAAAAGAAAAAACTGTCAGTTTTTGTTAGATTTACCAAAAATCAGAAAATAGAAAGAACAAATTTCTACATTTAAACCTTTGCTGATTAATGTTTTTTTTTTTTCAGTGGGCTCTATATTATCACCATTCAGATGATCTAATGGTACATTACATTTAAATAAAGGAAAGGTTTTGATCTTTCTTTGGAAAGTAGCCAAAGCCACAGAATATGAAGCTACTAAACAGATCTTTAGTTTAATGTGACCTTTGATTTTAATTGGGTCAAACCCATTAACAAGCTTAGAACTTGACTGTTTTTTGTGACTCTGACCGTCCCTCTGCTGGAAGGTGACCTTTGGCCTCAGTCTTAAGCCTCATTTACACTACCCTCTGAAAACTGATCTCTGCCGAGCTTGGATCAGTTAACAGTGCCACGCTTGGTTCCTGAAGACCGTTTACACACCACGGTTCATCGCCTCCTAGTGACGATCTACAGTTCTACTCTCTAGAAGTAAACAAGCAAACCAACATGGTGACGGCCGTAACATTCAGGCAGTTTGCGGAGAGTCAGGCGAAGAAGGCAGCCTGTGGCTAATTTACTTGATATAGTCGGCATTTGGAAAGTGGATAAGACAAACGATAGTCTAATCAGGGCTTACAGACGCAGGAAACAAAGACAGACATTGAGGTTCATCTCACTGCTAAGCAGAATCATCACTGGAAATCGTGTGGCACGGCAGGGAAGTTAGTATTTTTATGAATGTCTGACTGTAAGGAGATGACGCGGACTGATCATGCAGTCTTTGTTATCTGAGAACCGAGCCAGAACTGAACCACGCCGAGCCCTACTGATGAACTAGTACCATGTTAGCGCGGTTCGGTTGTGTCTGGCATGGTTGGGTTCAGTTTTGCGTTCCATTTAAACTCAACAGTTATCTTGGGCTACGTTCACACTGCAGGCCTTGATGCTCAATTCCGATTTTTTTTGTGAAATACGATTTTTTTGCGTTCCCGTTCGTATTTCCAGATATATGCAACTTGTATGTGATGTCCAGTGTGAACTGCAGTCATACAACGCAAGTTTCCCGCATGCGCAGTAGAGGACGTAATGACGTCACAGGCCAGCGAGCTCTATGTTTACGGAAACATGGATGGTAGCGCTGGAGAACATCTAGCAGTCTTTTCCAACCATAAAAACTCAATCTTTTCAATATGGTTAAACATAAATACTGCTCTCCACATCATCATCTGCCAGGGTTGTTGTTTTTCTTGCCGCTTCTGCGTAGCAAGATTCAGAATAGTGACCTTTGTTGGGTATTAATGACATTCAGGTCGGATGAATCCGACCTGCCTTTTGTGTCTCTGCTTCTGTCTCCTTGAAACCCAGTCAGCCTCAGCAGATGGCCGCTCACACTGAGCCTGGTTCTGCTGGAGGTTTCTTCCTGTTTAAAGGGAGTTTTTCCTCTTCACTGTCGCTACAAGCATGCCCTAGTGTTAGGGATTGCTGAAGAGTCAATGAGTCGATGCAATCAACTGGTTTTCTTTGGATAGAAAACTTTGAATCAATTTGACTGGATGATCTGGTTGAACTGTAAAGTGCCTTGAGATGACATGTGTTGTTAATTGCTGCTATAGAAATAAACTGAATTGAATTAATTTTAACTAATAAATTAGCTGACCATGTAGCTGCAAACATTTGGTTTGTTAGATTTTCATTTTTTTGTTTGGTCAACAAGCATTTTCTCTGCTTTACTGTCATTACCCTTTGAATTAAGGTCAAACCAAAGGGGAAGATTGAATAAAAGCTAGTTTTAGAAAGTAATGCATTTCATTTGTCAATCTTATAATGAAACTTATCTGTTGATCTATACCCATTAAACATTATGTGTACAGTGTATAGAGAACTTAATTAGAACAGCTTCATTCTAAAAGCACTTATAGGATGAGTCCTACTTCTGTTTGACATTCTATTTGGTTGCTTTTTACACATTGTACTTTACTTTCCTCACTTTAATCTATCTTTAAATCTACTGGCTGTTAATTTTCCTACACAACAATTTAAACATGGTTTTCTTTTAATAAGGTATATGCATCACTGTTGGTGCAAAATGTGTTGAATGTTTTTTCCTCATGATTTCTCATTGTATTATTTGTTGCTGTTTGAAAGCATTAATGTTGAGAAGTTATTTTGATTATTATAACCATGAAGGGCTGCTTGTTTCATTTCAAGGACAGGACTTTTGTGATCAACTGAACTCTTACTTTGAAGAAAATGAAAAAAAAAAACAAAGATAGCGCATAGTGGGAATTATTGGACTTTTCTACAATTAATGGCATAAAATTAACCACCCGGCTGCAGTATTTATACTTTGTGCAGCTTTACACAGCCGTTTACAATGTTTTTAATGATTCTTTGCGCTGTCTGAGTGTGACGGTCATTTGTTTGTAAAAAAAAATTCACAATCTGTTTATAGTAGTGATATTTATGAGCTCAATCAAATGAGTTCAATAGATGTTTACGTTTGCAAACACTTCAACATTCTTTTATCGTTAAGGGTTTCAATGGTGAGCCACAGAGAGGAGAACCTCAATCAAAGATGCAGCGGAGCTCTGAATAATTTCCTGATGAGAGGTGCTTCTAAAAACTTGGGGGTCGCTGTAGGTAACAGATCTGCAGGTGGTCAGATCTGCTAGCGGCCCTGCCCTTTCCTATGATGTCATCATATGGCAACGCCACTTGTACAAACTGTATTTTACCCATTTCTTAAGAATCAGATCTCTTCTGGGATCTCAACATATTATTACCTATATTTGATATTATTTTACATTTAATTGGCGATCTAAATTAGCCGAAAGTAGAAAACAATCATTCTCAGTCTTGAAGTCAAGCACTGCATTATAAGACAGTTCTGCCATTTAACAAGCTGACACAAAAAGTCTCATGTTAGGTTCAGACTGCACACGCTAGAGGCAGCAGAAGCAGCTAGTTTACATGCAAGGTCATTGGCTGATGCACATCAAGGTACATCAAAAGGACCTGCAGCACGTTTTGAGCACCAGAAGAAGCGCCTCATGAGCTTCTGAGCATCTGACTCGCATGACGCGCTGCAAAAGCAGCAGCTGCTCCAGCTGAGTTGGAAAAATGTAGCTTTTGCTGCTGCAAAGAGAAGCTAATCTGGGAGCTGGCTGCCACTGAACGGCTCGCAGAACCATTTATATCTAATTTATCTAATATATCATTTTAAATGCCACGATAATCACATTTAATTAATTTCAATGCCAATTAAGGCCTTAATTTAAACAATAATAACTTAATGACAATGATTTTTAATGACCCTGCTAGAACTGCTTTTGTGACAAAGTATTTGCTATACTTCATCACTCTCCCTCTGAACAGATTAGATGTCTGTGTTGTAAACTCAGCTAACGTGGCGTCTTCCTACCCTGACATCCACAAGACCCTTGGCCTCCTGAAGAAAACCGGAGAAAATATTTACTGGGGAGGCCAGAGGGCACAGAGGGACGAGGGAGGACATCTGATTAAGCCATAAATGTTCCTTTAGCTTAAACACAGTTTCTGAAATACTCCAACACTTTTGCAGCTTTCGCTTTATCAGCACTTTTATTCCATGCTAGTTATTCTTTCTGACTCCTTTGGCTTTCTGAACAAACTGCACATGCAGTTCCTCCATAAGCATTTTTATTTTTTGTCTGTAGGGAGAAACTGCACCACCTCGCTAGGCTAAAAATAGCCGACTTCTACCCGTCTGCCAGAACCAGTGTATCTGTAGAAGACAGAAACCCAAAGCTTTCTGGGTTTTTGAAGGCTGTAGCTCTCATTCCAATACAAAAATAAACTGTTTTAATTTCTCTACTCTCAGCCCTGGAAAAGAGGATTCTTGCCATCCAATCAACACGATGCCAAAATAATGAGTGTGCTGCCAGGTCCTGGTCGCTAACCTAAAGACACCAAATCAACTAGATGCCTCTGACCTGCTGCACAGGGAGATGAAACCCATCATATTAAACCCCAAAGCAAAGACAAAACTTCTATAACTCTGTTTAAGAAATGTTTATATGTTCTGATAGGAGAATATCTATTATTAACCATGTACACCTCCATCTTCAGGAATCTTTTTTCCTAACTTGAACTTCTTTCTGAAATACCAATAAAATACACTAAAATGTAACTTAGTCCATGTGACAAAATAGCCCCCGGTCTTAGAAAATATCAGAAAAATGCCACCAAGACGGTCGTTGCCAAGAACTCCAGAGGCTGCACTAAGTATGCGGGTGGACTGGCAGCCAATAGGGAGGTTCATACAGCCGGATCAGGAAATGTGGAACTACTCGTACAGCTATGTGCTGAAAAACATGGCTGAAGAGGAATAGTCCCTACTGGAAAAGGTTTGAATATACTATCATATAAAGACATGTTAAAGGTATAGAGCACGATGTTTTATTTCCGGGTGGATCGTCTAAATAAGTGGTCCTCCTAATTGTCAATCATTCAGGTGATATTTTTATGTCGAAAATGGTCGAGGGTGTCAAGAGAAAAAGTATCTACGAAGTGCAAGAGAAGAAAAGAAAAGCCTCAGAAGAGGCAGATATATCCCAGAATGCTTTGCGTGGAGAGCTCCCCTCTCCCAACAAGAAGAGAAAGAAAATGTTGACAACACCTCTAATTTTTTTAAATGTTTGCTGAGTTCGATTTCAAAGGCTGTGTCCTCCAAAGGCCCGATTCGTCGGCCGTTTATGTCATACTGTGGCGCCTGACTCCTCATTATTTGGCCGATAAATGCAGCCTAATTTTTTTCCATTTTGAAGGACTGGTCCAGTTTATCCTACGTAGCTTTGGATATCCCATGATTCATTGCGAGTCAAAGCAAGCTGGCTGCTCCGTGCTTAGAGGAAAAGAGGAAATGGCGCCAAACAGTGGTGAATATTGTAAATGCTGTTTAATATAATACAAGTATGTCAATAGTTCCTTCTGAAATTAATGAAAATGATTTTTTTTAATGGTTATTGATTCATGTATGTGGGGGTAATGTTTGATTTATTGAAAAATTTAGTTTGTCCCTGTGTAAATGGGTTTGGCTAACATTTATGCACAGATTTTGTTATCTCTGCAGGGTCAGGACTATAAATCTGATATTCACAACGACTTTACTGCCGAAGCTTCTTGTAAATGTAATTGGCATATAGAACGATAGTAAAAAGTTTGGTATCCATTCTTTGCCTGCTTTGTGTGTTAACTGCACGGTTGCTAGGCAACAGAGCAAACTGGTGATGAAAGGCAGGGAAGGCTGGACCTGTTTGAATCCATAGCCAAACTCTTCCAGCCTCCTTATTTTCACAGCCGCTGAAATCGAAGTGACCCGTAGTGCGGCGCTGTACGCTGGCAGTCTGTGTCCTACACTGCCCCCTAGTGTTCGACCAGAACAGAGCAGGAAAAGGCCGCACAGTGGAATAAAATGCTGGTAAGGTTAGCTTAGCCTAGCCAAGCCTAGTTTAGCCTTATTAAAGCATGGACAGCAAGCAGATACAGCATATTGATAGACAACATTTTTGTTTCTTTTTTATCTTAAAGGAAAAATGTTTTCATATTCATTTTTTTTTTACAATTTTGACATAATTACTGCTCTAAGTGGGTCGCTCTAACAGCTAAATGTTTTACAGTCTCTATACTCCGTTAACGATTAATCGACTATTAAAATAGTTGATTATTTCAATAATCGATTAATCATGATTCATCGTTTCAGCCCTAATTATAACATGACTATGGGAAAAAGTTCCCATGTACAAATATGCTTTAACACTATTAATATGTGGAATACTTTTTTTTTCATTATTATTAATGTTGATTTCTAAGGACAGTACTGAAGAATACAGTAATTAACATGAGCAGAAGACCACAAGGAAATAAACCACAGGCGTGTTATGAAAGCCATACATCATATCTCCTTTCATCCTTCAGTATAAATTCCACTCATGTTTCCTCAGATTTCATCCCCTGTTTATAAAGGAAACAAGGCCAAAGATTAAAAGCGTATCACAGGGCGAAATCTTCTCACAGAGTCGCTCAAATAGCTCTCCCCTGATAAAATACAAATGTTGCCTCTACTCAATGAGAGCTCCGTCTTTTATTGAAAATGCTTTCAGTGGTTTGACAGCAATGAGCAGGGGTCAAGAGTCTGCAGAGCCCTGAGACTCATCACAAAGGCCTCAACGCAGAGCCTCTCAAAGCTCATGTTGGGTCTCATCCGTGCTTTTTTTCCTGAGTTAAGTGGTGGCCAAAGCACACTGCACAGAGCTACGACAAAATCTCCTGCTGCACAAAACAAACCTTAACAGTCATCGTTTGTGACTTCTCTCCTCTGCTAATGGAACGACTCCTACCTATGCTGAAGTCCTTGGGGTCGAGGGACAGGCTGTATCCGGGTAAAGTCTCCAGCAGCAGCTTGTAGCAGGCCCTCCAGCCCGGCTCAGGGATGGTGGGGGCCACACACTGCATGGCCGCCACGCGTTTGAAAAAAGCTGACTTGCGGTGGAAGCCGATGAGTTCATAGAGCTCGGACAGGATGCTGTAGCGCTGGATCTTCTCCTCCTCTGATAGCTGCAGTTAGAAAGAGACAATCAGCATTTAGCAGCACCTATTGCATTTGTGCGTTAATCTGCACCAGAAAAGAGATTAAACAGTCCTAAAGAATGATGTGAGGTAAAGACATAAACATCAGTTGCATCCAATATATATAGATCCTTGGACCTTTTTGGTGTCTTTCACTCATTTTGAGAGTTTCAGCCCCAAATCTAGATAAGTAATTTTTTCTTAAAATAAGTGCATTTTTTTTTGGATTGAGGAGGTAAAGGAGACATTTTGCCAATGGAGCAAGACAATTTACACTTAAAATTAGAAAACACAATTGTATTGTCTTATATAAAGTTCATGTTATCGAAATATCTTATTTTAAGAGTAAAATTGCTCATTCCATTGGCGAACTATCTCATTTACCTACTCAAATTAAGGGTAAATACACTTAATTTAAGAAATTTTTTACTAATTTTTAGACCGTTTTTGCATTGTTTCTACACTGTAAAAACAAAAAAGTTAGTTCAAACTCAAAATTTCAAGGCAACCGGCTGCACAGAATTTTTGAGTTGAAGGCATCAACTTAATTTTTTAAGTTTTGTAGAACTACACTTATTAAGTTGTGTCAGCTAAGTTTTTCAAGTTCTGCCAACTAAGTTTTTTTTAATTCAAGGTACTGGAACTTTCAAGTCTGTAAAAACGTATCAGAATACCATCCCCTGTAATAACTTACATTTTTTAGTTTAAAGTTTTTTTTACTTTTACTTTAACTCCTGTTAAAACCTTACAAATAATGCAATATTGCCAGAGATGACAGGAAACCAGTGCCTTAGTCTTCTCTTGGACGAGTCCTCAGGGAAAGTTACCACCAGCAGAGTGACCAGATGGCTGAACCAAACTTTAGAAGGGAGCTCCTGGGAAAATCCATGGAAACCCTGTAGCAGCCGGTTGCCATGACAAATTTGAAATGAGCATGCGCAGATAAGTTGACCTCGCTCGGACTGGGTGTCAACTACAACTTCTAAGTAAACTCAACTTAATTTATAGAATAAGATGAACTTTTCATCAGAAACTTATGAAAGGGAGTTCAACTGGCTCACAAAAGACAGTTCAAGTTCCAACTGCCAATTTTATTGTCAGTGAATGCAAAAATCTTAGTAAGGTGAACAATTTTGAGTTGTCGTTTTTACAGTGTAGAATGTCCACCTTATAGCTCTGCTTTCTGACACTGCTGCAGCTGGACGTGAACCGCTAAGTGGAGCTGTCACTTTGGGAGCGGGCGAACGTCTCTCAGACAGAGCTGACGCACAGAAAAGAAGCTAACCTGGAGCTTCCAAATCTGGACTCTGTCTATTTTTCTGATGCTGACTGAGTTCTGCCTGAAACGCACTGAAGAAAATCAATCATTCAAGCCTTTGTTTGGCTTGAAAGACAAAAAGTGAGAACTAATGAAACCATTAGAAAGCCATTAAACCAAAGTAAAAATAGAAACTCTGTTGCTAATATTAAAGGGCAACTCACCCCTGTTCCAGAGCCTTACCTCAGCCCATATCTAATATCTTAAACATTTGCCTTATAAAGGCCATGCTCTGGTGAGGTGAAAAAAAAGCTAAATAAATGCTAAAGGGTGAAATCTACTCTCTCCTGGGGTTGTTGCGCTGGTCTGTGCACGAATCCATTAAAGCGCTATACCCTTTTTTAGTCGACACAGATGTAGGTGCAGTACTCGCAAAAACAACAGAGGGGCAGAGCTCAACATAGCAAGCAGAAATGCAGTAAAAAAAGGAAGAGCAATTGGCGTCCCACTTTCAAAATAGTCGAGCACAGTATTGTTTTTTTAAGAATTTATGTTTTTTGAAGAATTATATTTTTTTAAATAACATATATAGGAAACATTTGCCGTTTCTCAATATTTGTACTTGCTCGTGCACACCTAAAACGTGATCAGCCTTAGCCCTAGTACTGTTCCAATTCACAAGAACAGCAGACCGAGAACGGACACAGTCCCCGGATGTTGTTCTCGCCCCTCCCTCTTTACCCAGCATGCATCAGAGCAGACTTGTCCATTCATGAGATTGACAGCCTTCCCAGCAAGCACTGCGGCAGCAACTTTCAACAGAGCGCTTCATTGAAAGTTAAAAGTTCTGTTTTCTGTCGCTGTTGTTTAATAAAAGTACGTTTTAAGATCATTTAAGGCGAAAGCATTATACTTTAAGCGTCGATATATGGTCCATTTATACCGATTTAATGCGTAATAAAAAAAAAAAAAAACAAAGTTGAGAAGACCTTGGCAACCAGCAGAGCTCCGAGGGTAACGGCAGCCAAGGCCAACCGCAGCCCATCTGCAGCATCAGTCTCTCAGCATAGCAGTGTGCCAAGGACCGCTGGCTCTGATGGCCATTTTTTTGTTTTATTTGGCAAAATTTTATTTGTGTTTATCTGACTGTGTTATTCATTATTCCCCCACTAAATGAAAAAAGGAATAATTTATTACTATCTAGACTAATAATAACAGGAGGTGAAATGCAGCTATAGACGAGCCAGGCATGTGGTGATGTCATCAATATGCATCTGTTCCAATTGACCCATATTTATGCTGCATGCTCCCGTTCTCCCAGAGTCCAGACTTTCCTGTGTTCTTCTCTAGAACAGGAAGATGTTTTAGAGAGTTTGGACATGAGCCCATATTCGTGTTCTAGTGCTTTGCAGACTATGGGTAGTTTTTTCAGACCTCATTTATATGGTATGTGATGAAAAAAGAAACTATTCATTCATTTTTTTAAAAGACGTATTCGCCGTTTTACCGACACGCTGTTTGTTTACACTCCCCCACCAGCTTTCTGTCGCGCTTACTACGTCAGAGTCAGTTGCGCTCATTGGTCAGAGGGTTGGCCAATAGGCACAGACATGGTTTGAAAAACTACGGTTGTTCTTATCAACAATCTTCCAATGTCTCATTCGTCTGGGCCAGACTAAAGTACACATTTAATCTCACTTTTAGTCTGGATTATCTTTCTAGGGCGCCGCCATATTGGCTTGCTTATTTCCCTCTAGGAAGCAGTAATATTTTAGATCGCCACAAGGAGGCGAGGAACCATGCTAGTGTGGTGTGTAAATTGGTCACAAAGAACCGAGGTCGGCACGGTTAACTGATCCAAGCTCGGCACGGATCAGTTTTCAGAGGGTAGTGTAAATGGGGCTATAGACGTCCATGTGCAAAGTTTATTGGAGGGGAAAGATAACTTTTTTGGGGTGGGGTCGCTTGCCTGATGCCTGACTGATAAACTGGGTTTGTGTTACAGCATCTTCTCACATTAATAAAGTAAACTATTTTATGATACTTAGCTTCTATATTTGTAAAGGTAAAAGATAATAAAGCAAGCTCTGCTTGTTGTAGCATTAGAACTAGAAAGCCCTATTCATAGATGTTCAAACTTAGAAAATAAATCTTCCATAGTTTTCTCAATGACGCAGAAATGAAGCTATTTGTCCATCTAGATAATTAGTGGATCGACATCTTTAACTCTTCATGTTTTATCACACAGCAGCTGAGCTGAGCTCATCCAGGAAGCTGCTAAAGGAGGGGATGCTGTGAATGACTCGCCGTTTCCCAGTCACTGATCCTACCTGCCCCAGGTTGATGTAAACAGCGTTCTGCAGGAACTCTGAAGCCTCCCTGGCTCTCTTCTGGATGGCCAGCACCCTGACGGCTTTGACGCAGGCCTCCAGCTCGATCACACCTGCGTTCTTGTACTGTGACAGATTTAAGGAGGAAACGCTCATCAGAACCAAACAGCCTCTTAGCACACAAGAGGATCTAAAAATAAAAACCCTTTTAAAATAGCAGAATACATGAAGCGAAGCAAAGAGACTGTGATGAATCATTTAAAGAGACTAAAATAATCTGCCTGCAGATCGTTATGCGGGCTCTTTAATTAAACACCAATCAGAGGTGGGAAGTAATTATCTACCTAACTTTAGGAATATTTGAACTTTATGGTTATTGCTCCTCTGACCAGTTGGAGATCAGCTCAGTAAAGTGGAGATGTTTTCATCATGTTTATTAATGTTTTTATTTTTAATTTCAACTGATTGCATCATTTTAAACATACATCAGATGTGCTGATCAAACAGTGACTCCATTTTGCTCTTATTTTAATAATTTCTTAGAGAAATATATTATTGAGTAAAAAGTTGTTTCAGTCGTGCTGTTGTTGGGGTGCACTGGTGGCACCAGGGGGTTCAGATATTTGCTTTCACCCCAAATTCCCACAGCTGCTCTGTCCTAATCTGCTGTGTTCAGAATAAATCTGATTACTTTCACAGCAGAAGGAGAACATGAAGAAATCCCTGCAGCTCCATCAACAATCATCCTCCATGACCGCACTGCAAGCAATTTAAATATATACAAGGAAAGTTTTCTTAAAATAGGTGCATTTTTTTCCTGAATTGAGGAGGTAAGGGAGACACTTTGCCAGTGGAACAAGAAAATGCACATTTCAAATAAGAAAAGACAATTGCATTGTCTTATTTTGAGTGTATATTATCTAATTATCTTAAGAGGAAATATTTTCATTCCATTTGCAAATCTTACTTTCCTATTCAAATTAAGGGTAAATGCACTTAATTTAAAAATAGATCATTTTTGCAGTGCCGTTTCCAACCTTTTCTTTTCATCTGTTTAAAAATAATGCAGTTTTTGAAAAAAGCAAATGTTTTATAAACTCTTGACTTCCATATTCTTATTGGTATGTTTTAGTTAGTGACCTTACTTAAAGCTGCAGTCTGTAACATTGAGAAGAGAGCAGACTTCGACTGAAAATTTTAAGAAAAACAGGTTTCACGCCACTCCCCCACCCTCTCTGCTTCACTCATGCCCCACCTCCAAGCTCCACCCCTCTCACAGCACCTGCGCGGCTACCGCATGCGACCACAAGCATCCAAGCAGCGTATGCGGCATGGAGTGTGAACCGGTAAGAGCGATAACACTCACCTCCAAGCAGCTAGATATAAGATGCTGGTTATACCGAAGTTTGCAATGTAAGCAGTTGTCGGCAGGGGCAGTAAGGGCAGTTTCTCTTTCTCTGGTGGCTGTTGCTCCGCCATGACTTCCACGCGCGTCCTCCTGACTGCAGCAGCCGGGGGGCAGCGGCAGGTTAAGCGGTGAGGGGGGGGGGGCTGTGATTGACACTCCATCAGACGCTCCTCTGGCTGTGATTGGTTGTTTTGACTCGTCCCGAATTATTCTTTCCAGATTGAAATACAGGCAGTATGCGGGACCAATTGAAGCAGTTTTTTTCACAGGTTACATATCACATGTACTGCTGTCTGGGCATAGGGACAGTTTTAGCCAATATGACAAAAAAGTGATTTTTAAAAACTTACAGACTTCAGCTTTAATTACAAAAAAGTAAAAAATAAAAACAATCCCCTAGACTTTGTTTCCAAGTTTGAAGACGTTTTGCTTCCCATCCAGGAAGCTTTTTCAATTCAAATGTCAGAAATCCCTCCCCGCCATCATCGCAACCCTAACCCCTATACAGGGGAACAGAAGACCTCGCCTATTCAGCCAGGCCAACAATTCCCTTTAATGACCCCACTTTCAGAGACACAGACAGGTATGGGGCATTGCAGGCTAACAAAAGAAGCCAAACAACCCCCATTCCAAAGGGGCCCGTTCATCCGTTTTAATTTGCATGTTTTCTAAGCAAAAACAAGGTTTGTTGGGCTACTGTATAAAACCTCGAACTCAGCGCTATTTCTGACATTTTGAACTGAAAAAGCTTCCTGGATGGGAAGCAAAACGTCTTCAAACTTGGTAAAAAAGTCCAGTGGATTGTTGTTGTTTTTTTTTACTTTTTTGGAATTAAAGGAATAGTACACCCAAAACATGATTAGCCTTCATTTCCTACTCACCCCCATGCTGAACAACACTCTGGAGTACTTTTTTGATATCTCAAATGCATCTGGAGATCTGGGAGGCTTCTTGCTGTCTGCTGACATTCAAATAATGGAGGTCTATGGTGACCGAGACAGAAAGGTCCATAAAACTCCACAAAAAACGTGTCAATATTCCTCCATACTGCTCGTCCAATTTATTCCAAGTGTCCTGAGTGGGTAGCATCCAGAATTTACTCGAAACGAAGTGATTTAGAATGTTTTTAGAGCATAAACAGTAGTGTATAGGATTTCCTGAAAGCGCGCACACGCGCGCTCACGACGCTACGGAAGCCGGCAGATCAAACCAGATGAAAGTGCACATTCAGCGTCTGCTCTTCCAATAATGCAAGCGTAGAAGAAGAAATGTGCTGTTTACCTGTGCAAAGAAAGAAACAACGAAAGAAAAATATCTGAGGACTTCAGTGTTGAGGAAGAGCATGAGTCCTTTGCCGAGCTGAATACGCTGGTTTGGTCTGCCGGCTTCCGTAGCGCCGTGAGCGCGCGTGTGCGCGCTTTCAGGAAATCCTATACACTACTGTTTATGCTCTAAAAACATTCTAAATGACTTCGTTTCGAGTAAATTCTGGACGCTACCCACTCAGGACACTTGGAATACATTGGACGAGCAGTATGGAGGAATATTGACACGTTTTTTGTGGACTTTTATGGACCTTTCTGTCTCGGGCACCATAGACCTCCATTATTTGAATGTCAGCAGACAGCAAGAAGCCTCCCAGATCTCCAGATGCATTTGAGATATCAAAAAAGTACTCCAGAGTGTTGTTCAGCATGGGGGTGAGTAGAAAATGAAGGCTAATCATGTTTTGGGTGTACTATTCCTTTAAGTAAGGTCACTAACTAAACCATACCCATAAGAATATGGAAGTCATGGAAGTCAAGAGTTTATAAAACTTTTTTTTTTTTTTTTCAAAAACTGCTTTTTTTAAACAGATGAAAAGAAAAGGTTGGAAACGGCACTGCAAAATGATCTATTCTTAAATTAAATGTATTTACCCTTAATTTGAATAGGAAAGTAAGATTTGCCAATGGAATGAAAATATTTCCTCTTAAGATAATTAGATAATATACATTCAAAATAAGACAATGCAATAGTCTTTTCTTATTTAAAATGTACATTTTCTTGTTCCACTGGCAAAGTGTCTCCCTTACCTCCTCAATTCAGGAAAAAATGCACCTATTTTAAGAAAACTTGACGTGTATATATTTAAATTGTTTGCAGTATGACAATGACGTGGATGACTGAGAATCTACACCAGCTTACAGACCTTACATTTCTGTGTGCAGGAGTGGGATTCTTTCAGGACCCTACTAACTTTATCATTTTGCGTTCGAAATATACGGTGTCAGGTTTATGGCCCTGGTTCTAATTGGAGAAATCTCCTCAAAGTTGCTTTGTTTTACCCTCCCAGCATCTGTTTCTCATCAATTTTCTGCTTTGTGCTGCCAGGCTATAAAGGATGGGAGAAGTTTCTGCTCAGGGGCAACATTCACAGACTCTATGGAGGAGTGAGCCTTGAATAAATCTCCCGTTATTTCATAGAAACACTGTCTTACTCCCTGATAATTAACATTTCCACAACACAGAGATGAGACCAAAGGCAAACAGGAACATGTTGATTCAACCCATTTATTTCCTCACATTCAGATTGGATCCTAATTAGAAAACACTGCAGGTGAGTTCTGCCTATTAGATCAGTGAATAAAACGGCTTCTATGCAGGAAAACCAGGAAAACTGCATGAAGTTTGCACAACATGTATCAACTGTAGTGAGTGGACCGTTAACAGACTTTATACATAAAATAAAAGGTAGGAACGTCCAGCAGGACGCGCCTCAGGGTGTCAAAGAGCTCAGAACAGACAGTAAGGAGAAAGCAAAGAGGTTAAGACCAATAAACTCTACTTGATCTGCAGCAGGGGTTCCCAAGGTACACTTAATCCTCACAGCAGCTGGAAAAACAATCTAGAAATAATTAGAAATTTCTTAAATTAAGGGTATTTTCCCTTAATTTGAGCTGGTAAATGAGATGATTGCCATTGGAATTACTATTTTTACTCTTGAAATAAGATATTGAGATAAAATGCACTTGAAATATGACAATGCAATTGCGTTTTCTTATTTCAAACGTACTTTGTCTTGTTCCCTTGCACTTATTTTAAGAAAAAATGACGTATCTAGATTTTGATTTTATCCAGTGCACCATCCTTTTCATTCTTTCTATTAACTACTGTTTTGACTGAGTAATGCAAACCGACCAGAACAGCTGGACTTCATTTCATGTTAATCAGATCCCCATCAACTGACGGCAGGTTTGAACTAAAAGCTGAATTTAAAGGTGCTTCAGCAGTCTTATGCAACCAGGACACTGCAGCATTTTATTTGCAACATTCTTCCTTCCCTCCAGGTTTGTTTGGCGGATTAGAAAAGATATATGTCACCTTCAAGGGAGAGGAATCTATGAATGTATTTGTCATGGTCTTATTTTCCATGTTCCTAAAACCTGCCGTTAAAAGGGAAATCCGCCGCATGATCAAACTCATCCCTCTGGGCCGACACGGCAGAGCCAACACATATGAGTGGGATCACTGACTTGAGCTTCACTGGCAAGAACACAAAAAAAAAAACACTTTAAAGAGTCCATTTTTTATCCCATTCCTTTGGCTTTCCTCCACTTACAGCCTCGCTGTCTCTCCTATTAAAATTCAATTAATATCAAAAGACGACAAGTTGAAGTGTAATTTAATCCTGGAAGAATGAGACTCAGGTAGAAGGGCTGATGGTAGAGGAGGTCAACGCAAAAGGGAAATGATAAAACAGTGGATAAACGTAAGGAAACCTGTAGAATCTGTTCCCGCACTAAATTAGAAAATTACTTTGAGCAGATATTTAGTAACGATAAATAAGCGTGTTCAAGAGTTATCTTTGAGAAAGAAAGAAAACCTTCTTTAATGGTCTGCAGAAAATCTTTATCTATTCAGGTTTATCATGTCAGGTTTAGGCTGGGCTGGTTTAATTCTGATCCCATACTGCCCCCTTCTGGGCGGGATAAACACAGCCATGCAGACAGGAAATCAGACCTGCTTTTCAAGGCTCGTCCTGTTAATGATTGAGTCAAGATTTCAGTTTAAAAAAAACAACATCTTCCATCTTGAATATCTTGGTTTGGTTCAGTAGATCAGTACCTTTCCATAGTAGGAGATGGCCTCCTTGTATTTCTCAATAATATCCTCTGGACTCAGGCAGTTCTTGGCTCGTCCGATCTCTGTGCTGGTGTCTGCACTGATGCCGCCGGCTGTCAGGGCGCCTTCGGCCCAAAACAAGAGGGAAAAACATTATTCTAAGGAAACTAAAAGTCAGCATCTTAGTGACGCTTTTCTCCTTAAAACACCAAGGAAAAAAAATACAAAAAACACAGAAACACAGAAAGATTCAAGAGGAGAACTCAGACTTTACCTTAGCTGCTAGAATCCACACATCAGAAACTGTCCAAGGTTCGGACCGAGCAGTTCATTAAGCCAGTAAAACATTAAAACCTCTTTATATAAATGCTAGAAACCATTTATTATGCAACAATCAACCGTTTAAAAGAGTTTATCACTAAATCTGAACCATTTAAGAACAGGTCATTTAAGAAGGGAGCTGCTTTTAGAACAGGGGTTCTCAAAATAGGGGTCGTGAAGCCCGGGGGGGTCGCAAGGAAGCCAATAAGGGGTCACAAGATTATTTTGAGACTGCATATGGAGAGAAAAAATAATAATTAAAAGTACAAAATAAGTTAAATAAGTGTTTATTCATTTTTAATACATGGTTTACATTTTTATTTCATTGCAAAAAAAAGAATAATTTTTCCGATCAAATCATTGAAGATTAATTTGATGAAATTAATAAAGAATAATTTATAAATTTTTTTAATTACTTCATTTTATATGAATAAGAGAGCATAGAAAGTAATAATATGTGTTTAAAGGACGTCAGAAGTCTGTTGCTTTGTTATTTTGTGGGTCGCAGGGATATAGGGGGAACCAGATTTTTAAAAATTCAAAAAGAAACTTTCATTTAAAATTTTTTTAAAGCTAAATCAAAGCAAATAAAGTAAAATAAGATTAAAATAAAATACTCATGTGGTCTCATATAGAAGGAACATGTGTTTGAACACAGCGACAGAGGGATGTTTCTGTGGGAAGCATTTTATGTTGCGCGACTTCCTTTCTGGGCTAAATAGAAGCTACATAACAAAGAGCCTTTTTTTAGTAAAATCAGTGCAACTGGTACAAAAATATTTTTATTTTTAAACCAGATGTTTTTTTTTATATAAAAAGAAACATAAAAGTTTGAACATTGGGTTTTAAAACAGTTATGTGACCCGTTTATCTGAGAGGGAAAGATTTTTGAAGCAACTTAAAAAAAAAAGGAATTTAGTTGTCTATAAGTTGAAGAAGGAAGTAAAATGAAAGAATAATCAAGAGAATATCTGATCATAAATGTGGCTGTGATAAGTTGATAAACCATAAAAAAGATCAATAATTAGAAATCAACCACAGGTAAAAAGACAAAAAAAAAAAAAAAACAAGTGAAAGTGCTGCCACTGAAAACCAAAGCAGGTGAGCGCATGCAAACTGAAAGACTGGTGTCTAGAGGAGCTACGGTGGTTAAACAGTCAGTCCGTACCTGGATCAATGAGAACCTCCTGAGCCCCTACAGACAGAGAGAGAGAATGCAGGTTCACTCCATGACACAAGGCGCAGGGTTAGCAGAGTTAGCCTTCTGCTCAATGGCTGCTGCTGCATGCTGCAGGGTATTCATGGTGGTTAATAACAGACTTCAGCCTCTGCTGCACATAAGTCTCCATCAATCAGAGCTACATACAATGCATTCAATCTTTTAGTGAATCGTGATTTTTTTTTCTTTATCCAACGTTTCTATAGATAAATGGGATGAACCGCAACCGCGCAGCTTCTGAAGTTCAGTCGGTTCACTGTTATGCAAAAAAATAACCTGAACTTCAGTAAAGTTTAGAAGCTAAAAGACCATGAAATCACATCAGTTTATGTATACAGGACTGACAGGTTGGACGTTTTAGGATTTAGGAAAGATATGAGAAGCTTTTAGAGGAGGGGTAACTAATTAAAAATTAGCTGCGTCCAAAAAAAAAAAAAAGTCAACAACCAACAAAGGTCTGGAGACCTTTTTAATTATAAGCTGTTACTTAACCCTGATATAAAATGAGGTGTTTATGTATCCATTGAATTTTTAAATATAAAAATTAAAAATATATATATTTACCATTTTAAAAGTGTTTTTTGAAGTAGATAACAACAATCGCTTAGTTTGGTATATAGACAATTTCCTGATTTACATATTTTATAAAACATCTGAACTGACCGTATTTTTTTCCTTTTTCTGTCTTAATGTTGGCAGTGGGCTTTATGCTGCCCTGCAAGGCTTTAAACCTGGGTTTGAATGGAGACGAAGCCATTCTCAAGCACATATCAAGGTGCTCCTTTTGAGCCTGGATCCAGATTTATTTCTGATTCTGTTCATGGTGGAGAATCCTGCTTCACAGCAGCAGGTTGAGCCAAACATCCTCTAAATGAGTAGGGTCATCTTTGAGCACCATTTCACTATTCTTTCATCAGTTCACCACAGTTCTTCCAGCAGTCCACACTTTCTCTCTTTTTCTCATCTTCTTCTCCTTCTTTCCCATCGCCCGGCTTGCCACAGGTTTGCCTGCTGAGTCTAAAAGTAGCAGCAGCAGCAACCCAGACTGACAGCAGCTCATGTGGATCACGTGCAGCCTGGTGCCAGATGCCCCAGATGGCTTTACCATATTAACAGGAGAAGCGGCGCAAGTGAAGATAGACACTGTCGTCAGACAACATGCAGTAATTTATAAATGTTTTAAATCAGGTAGGGTCCGGATTAGCCAGTAGGTGGGTCTGGATCCTGGACCGCTAACCTGTGACCTCTGTATTTGGACAGTCCAGGGTCACGGACAAAATGAGGCCTGAAACTCGCTAATCTGACTTCCCACACAAAGGCAATCTATCAACACACCTGGGACAAATCACGAGTTTTCAATGATCAACAACACGATTCAGACTGTTATATATTTCAATGTAGGCAATTATTGTTAGAAAAAATGTAAATGTCATAATTTTATTTGAACTAAGTCACAGGCATTTGGCCTGTTAGGAATGTTGGGTTGTTTTAACTTCAGACGGGGAGAGCAAATGTTTGTTCCAGGAAGGGTCTGGTCTTATCCAGTGATTAATATCCACCGCCAATAAACCTGCACCCCCCTGTTTGTATGTGTAAACTTCTGACCCCTCCTGTTACTCCTTTAATAAAGGCAGGGGACAGAGAGGTCCCAGCAGAGTTGAACACAGATTTTTCAGGGAGTGAAAATTCTCCGCCTGTCTTCTCTCCTCTTCTGCAGAAAAGTAACTTGTCTGTTTATCTTGGTTATTTCTAGAAAATAAATATCAGAAAATATCGGCCTGCCTCAGAAATCTATAGTATTAGAAAGTTCGTAGAAACTCTTTGCTTCAATCGGCTTCTGTTTAAAGCTTAACAGATGAGGGCTTACAATTTCTCTCTTTAAAACTTTCTTATTATCATAATGTTTTCACTGTGATTTCAAAGTCTTTTAGTCATTTTCCCATAATTCATAGAGCAACCTAATTATTCTGTGTTTTTGAGAGGCTCCCTACTGCAGGGCCGGAGCACCGCCATGTTTTACAAAACATACCGAAAATCCACAATTCAGACAAATTATTAAACGATTATTGTTAATTTTTTTACTTTAAAACTTTAGGAAATCAAAGGTTTTATAGAACTATTTATAGCTGTATTACATCTGGCTGCTGTTTATAGAGATATTTAAACAAAGTTCTTTGTTTACTTGAAAGGTAATAAAATTCAGAGAAAAAAAAAATGTTCACACGAGATAATAAACCTAAAGTCATTAGACTAAAAAACTAAAAGTGCTTCAATACCTTTGGTTTGTTCCTAATCCTAATCTTAATCCTTACATCGGTGGCTAAGAAGGTAAGTGGATTTACGACTTCTTTAAATTCCTGTGTTGATTTAGAGACTGACTTGGTGAGAGTCGTTGATCATAAAAATGGCGACGCCCTGCACCTGCAGGCTGGAACTCGTCAGGTTTGCGCGGATGGTTGTTTTTTTTGTTTTTGTTTTTTTTACATCCTTTACTTTCTTTAATTAAAGAATTTTTAATTTTTAAACTGAGATGAAACTAAAGCCCCATTTACAGTACCCTCTGAAACCGATCAGTGCCGAGCTTGGATCAGTTAACCGTGCCGAGCTCTGTTCCTTAAAGGTGAACACCTTTTTTTTTTACATTAGCCCCTTGATTTTACATTATTACATCATGTTCTACTCACCCATATGAGTTTTGTGTCAGTTGGAGCTGTTCTGAAGATATTCGGTTTTGTAATCCAAGTAACGTCTTCCTATGGGCAACGACTTGAAGGCACAAACTAAACTGTTCATAATTGATCATTTATGGTACGCAAGCATTCATAACATGTAGGCGAATCACTGTCCCCTAGATAACTGCTGCTAGTTTTACTCACATGCCTGGAAGATGTCTAGTGCTGCTACCACAGATGATCTCGCTCTCCAAACGGAATTGAATGATTCAGATTAGCTAGCCGAATGAATAGAAGAGGTAGAGCGTAGCTACCTGTGACCCAGGCTGCCTGTCGCAAATCCAGTCCGGCGCGCGGATGACGTCATACACACTCCGCTTTGTTTTTAAAAAATATTTCAAAAAATTAAATTCCATTTGGAGAGTGAGATTATCTGTGGTAGTAGCACTAGACATCTTCCAGGCATGTGAGTAAAACTAGCAGCAGTTAACCGTGGATGTCTCAGGGACAGTGATTCGCCTACATGTTATGAATGCAGGCGTACCATAAAGAATAAATTATCAACAGCTCACCTGCTAGTGGCGATCTACGGTACTACCGCTCACTAGGAGTGTCTTTAATGACCTCCCTTTCAGAGACATAGGCAGGTATGGAGCATTGCATTCTAACAAAAGAAGCCAAACAACCCCCATTCCAAAGGGATGGACCCATTCGTCTGTTTCAATGTGCATGTTTCGTTGAGCTACTGTATAAAGCCTTGAACTCAACGCTATTACTGACATTTTGAATTGAAAAAGCTTCCTGGATGCAAAACGTCTTCAAACAAAGTGCAGTGGATTGTTTTTTTTTTACTTTTTTGGAATGACCTGGATGACTGAGAATCTTCACCAGCATGTTTGGTCATAATTGTGGTATTTCGTGGTCAGGCATCAGAGTCAGCTTTGGGAAGTAGATATGACAAACGATAGTCTAATCAGGGCTTACAGACGCAGGAAACAACGACAGACGTTGAGTTTCATCACACTGCTAAGCAGAATCATCACTGGAAATCGTGTGGCACGGTAGGGAAGCTAGGATTTTTATGAATGTTTGAAATTTCATGATTACGGAGGCTGACTGTAATGAGATGATGCGGTCTGATCATGTGCTCTGTTATCTGAGAACTGAGCCAGAACTGAACCGTGCCGGTCCCTACTGCTTAGTGCGGTTCAGTTCTGTCTGGCTCGGTCCGGTTAAGTTTTGGGTTCCATTTACACTCAGTTTTCTCAGTTACCGTTCCCAGCCCTATCTCTGCACGGTTTCTAAAGGGTAGTGGAAAAGGGGTTTTAAATGTTGAAAGATTATCGACAAGCTGATAGACCAAGATCTCACGTTCCCACGCATCATTGACGCTTCCACCTCTGTTAAACACATAAACTCTGTCAGCATTAAAGTTAAACATTGTTAATAGCATGTTAATAAAAGTGAGGATGGTTAACTTGGAGTTTATATAAGTAATCAGAGGGACAACCGGCACATTTTAGCATTTAGGAAGCTAAAAGTGAAACAAAGCTGAGCAAAGCTGAGCAGAGTGGAAGCTAGCAGCCGGCAGAAACCGTCTCATCATTGGACGCTTCGCTTCCTAGTCGTCTTCTTACCCGGTCGGTGGCGTTTCCCTGCGTCGGCCGGCTGGGAGATGCTGGGTTTGCGTGCGGTCGTCTTCCCCGCTGTGCCCCCGGGGTAGTGGAAGATCACAGAGGCCGAACATAACCCTTCCAACGCAGCTGCAAACAAAAGCAGAAACATCCTCTGGTTTTCATGGCCTCTGATGTCAAAGAATCCGAGTTTGTGATGTAAAGAGACAAACGATGGGAAATCATTTGAGGGGAACGAATACTTTGGCTATAAAAGCTTTTTCTTTGCTAATATAAATATAAATTGTTCCATTTAAAAACCTACAAACTTTCCCTCTAAAATATATAAAAGAACTGTTAACTCTGAAGTCAGTGCTTACCACCGAGCCAGAGGAAATCATTGACCCCCCTGAGCAGCTCCACGGCCATGTGGTAGTGGACCAGCGCGTCCTGCAGCATGCCCGCCTGCAGGCACAGGTCCCCGACATGCTTCCTCAGCCGACCCTGGCAGCGCTTCTTGTAATGCCTGGTTAGAAGGCAGCAGGGAGCAGAGAAACAAACATTTTAGGTCGAAGCTGTTCTAGTGCAGATCTGCTTGACAGCTGGTTTCAGACGGTCAGCTAAAGGTGGAATAAACTCATCCGCTGAAGAGGAACAAGAGCAAACAGGGAGACTATGAAGCATCCTGGGACTCATGTTTTCACTGAAGGAAAAAAAAAACAGAGCAGCTTCACCACTACTGTCATCAAGGATTTAGGAAACTATGCAGGAAATTTCACATCCTTAGAAACACTAGGAAGGTCAGGGGGGGAAATAAAGTGGCTCAGCAGGAGGAAACCCAAACAGAAGCAGGGGTTTTAAGAAAGACAAAGATCCGAGTCTGGAATGAGCCCAGAAATCTGGATAGAGCTGAAATATAAGCAGATAGGAGATGGGGAAACAAACAGCAGCGTCCTGATCAACGATTGGAACAATCAGTATCAGTCTCTACTTCAGCGTCTGATCATCAAACGCTTTACTTTACGCGCTGATACCAAACAGACTCTTTTTAATCCAGTCGATAAACAGTTTCTAATTCAGCCACTAGATGTCAGCAGCTGCTCCACTCTGACCTCCCGTTCACTGGAACCAGAAATATGATGTTGATGAAGGTTCATTAAACCTCTGGCTGCTAACATTTAGTTTGTTAGATTTTTTAGTATTTGTTGTGAATCAGGGTTATTTTACAAGCAGGTTTCCCAGCTTTAACTTTATAATTCTTTAAATTAATTTAAATCCAGACAGGAAAATTTAAATGAAATCCAGTTTTTGACAGAAATTTATGTCATTTGTGATAATTTTTTTCTAATTAATTTAATAGAAAAAATAAAGATTTAACTTTTTTTTTAATACATATTACGCAGCCCTAATCTGTGCTTTTAAAACCTTTAAAATGACAACTTTATCTTCATTTTGTGAAGTGTTTAATCTCATTTGTAAGGACGGCAGAAAATCTGCAGCTCATATTAAAAATTATAACCTTCGAACAAACAGGACTGCAGCCTGGAGCTCTTTCTATGAGCTAAATCTGCACAAATAAGCAGGAATTGAAATAATGCAGAGTTAGAAGTCTGCCATAATAAAGCGATGATTACGACGATGATCTGCAGATATGTTCCGATCATCGACTGGAACCCAGTCTCTTTATTTAGCTTCATGTTAGGGTTAAAAACAAGAACATCAACTATTCAGCTCATCAGTTTACCTGATAACTCATTTAATATGAATGCTGTTGTATATTTTAACGTGTGGAACCGCAAAGTCTCCTGACTTGCAGCCGTTGGACAAATCTACGGCATGACATCTAACATGTGAAACGCTGCATGATGTGGGTGGAGAAGCGAACTTAAAGGAACGTTTGTTTTCATTTTTCAGCAGACCTGAACTACAGGAAATATAAATCTGTCATTTTTTCTTTTAATAAGCGCCTTTTTTCTTGAATTGAGGAGGAAAGGGAGAAACTTTGCCAATGGAATAAGACAATTTATATTTAAAATAAGAAAAAACAATTGCATTGGCTCCTTTCAAGTGCATATTATCTAGTTATTTTGATTTAACAGTAAAAATACTCATTCCATTGGCAGATCATCTTATTTACCTGCACAAATAAGGGTAAAAACACTTAATTTAAGACATTTGTTCTCATTTCTAGGTAATTTTTGCAGCGTATATTACCGTTAATAGTTAGAGGAACAAAAAGCAGTGATCAGGAGCTTCTCTGCATATAACGTTGTAGATCTGATCGTATGATCTGGTTGAATTGTAAAGTGCCTTCAGATGACATGTGTTAGAATTGGCGCTATATGAATAAACAATTGAAAATTCAAATAAAAGTAGATTACTGCTTTCAAAGAGCTTGAACAGTTGACTTTATGGTAAAGATCGATCATCAACAAAGGTTAGGAAGGGAACAAAGGCTAAAACAACACTTACAGTCGGGATTGGTAAACAAAATGGTCTCATATCCAAGGAAAGTGGTGCTAAGAGTTGAGCAACTAAAGGAGAAGTTCAGGGTTAGAGGTTCAGTTCCCCTGAGGAGAGCAGCAGCACAGCCTGCAGCTACATCAACAACAGGGACCGTCTCCTCCTGAGCAGCGAATCAACGACCAGTTCTGAATTTAAGAAAGTTAAATTCTGCTACATATGGAGGGAATTTTCATCCATTATTGTTTCAAGCAAAAACAAAAAATTATGACTAAAAAATTTAAATAAAAAAAGTAATTCAGAGGAAAAACTTTGTGAATTTTTTTTTTTTAATCAAAGAAAGTTTTGGTTAACTATATTTTATATATATTTTTTTGTTGTTTGTTTTTTTCATTTTGATTTCTCAGATTGAGTTTTATGAATTTAATTTTTTTTCTAATTAGGTTTTCCTGATCACATTCTCTCCACTCCTGGTGGCGGGATTTCCTCTGGAGCGAGGAGCAAAGATACATTTCTATTGGTCTGCGTTTTTTTGGTCAATGCCAAACATCAGGAGCCAGGGTTTGCTTGAAGTACGGGAATCGGATCTGCAACCATGATTTATTTTGGCACGCAGGTGGCACAGTGGTTAGCGCGCACAACACAGGTACGGAGGCCTTAAGGCTGATTTATACTTCGAAACTAGGTCGCCTGCGTAGGTGTCGCAGTGAACAAAAAGACGTCCCCGCCCCCTCCGCTGCACCGCTCCCAAATTGTAGCTGACCGCAGACAGGAGGCCGACTTGTTTTGTTTTTATGACCGAAATTCCAGAAATCAAGTCGTGAAGTTGGACCATTTAGAGGAGCGAGGTGTGCGAGAATGCTGGGACCCTTTTTCCACCTGGATCTCCGCTCTTTTTCGCCGTCATGTCCCTCCGTTGTCGGACAAACTTGTCCCCACTTCCTCACCGCCTCCGCCGTATCTAGAACCACAGCGCATAGAGCAGACCACGCTCAAAATTGAACATAAATCAAAAATGTTTGCGTCGAGCTCACTGCGACACACTGCTGGAGGAGTATAACAAGCCCTTTAGTCCTCGATAAAAACCCAACAAAAAACACTAAAAATTCATAAAACTCATTCTGAAAAATAGAAATTTGGAAAAAAAAACATATTTGAAAATATAAAATCTGATAAAAATTTTGAAAACATAAGATTTGAAAATAAATATTTTCAAATGGATGGATGGATAATCTGTAAAAAAAAAATAATAATAATAAAATAAAAAACTGATCATTGTTTTTGAAAAAAAATTAATAAAATATAAAAACATAAGATGTGGGGGGGAAAGTTCATCTCAAAGCCATTTTTTAAATAAAAAAATGGAATAATTAAAACTTTCATTTCTAGTTTGCATTTATTTAAAATAAAAAAAAATTTCTGTACAACAATAATGGATCAAAATTCATTCCATAGTTAATCAGATCCTGAACCCTGATCAGTCATGCAGCCGCATCACAGAGGGAAAGGATGAGCCTCGTTCAAGCGACTGTAATCAAGTCAGATCTTATTTCCTTTAGATGACCGGAGGAACAGATGTGGACGGGAGAGAATGCAGAGTTTCTAAACAGCTTTCTGCACCAACAGCAAACCTGCAGCGGAGCAGAAGGTTTGTTCAGGGAGAAGCAGGGAGGAGAACAGCCAGGCATGGACCGGGTTCTAAGGAACATTTGGAGGGATCATCATGTATGGATAATGCTGAGGCTGAAACAATTAATTGAATTAATCGGGATTAATCGATTATTGCAATAATTATCAACTAATTTAGTAATGGAATAATCATGAGTATAAAGACTGTAAAATATGCTTTTAAGGTGACAGATCAACCCACTTAGAGCAGTAAATTTAACAAAATCGTAAAAAAAATACATAAATATTTAGCATTTAACATAAAAAAAATTTACATTGAAACATTTTAGCTTCACCTGGTTTAACTACATAAATCGTCTTTAAAGAATCTTTGGCTATCCGATTAATAATCGAAAAAAATAATCGAAAGATTAATCGATTTGCAAAATAATCATTAGTAGCAGCCCTAGATCATACCTGAACATAATACTGCCCCCCCTCCCCCACCTGTTGCTGCACTGCTTCAGTCAGCCGTCTTAAACTAAAGCTACTGCTCTGTAAACAGCAGAGCTTCCATAGAAAGAAACACTGAAAATCGCTTCTAAATAAAGACAATTTTGTTCGATTTAGTTGCATTAAGGTGTTTAGATTTGACTATTCAAAGTGTGATTATCGATTCCAAGTGATGCAGCTGAGCAGGATAGCCTGAGAAGCTCCTAGCGGGTCATATCTGGGCAGAGCTGATGCTGCTGGGATCAGTGAAGGGAAACCAAACTGGTCTAAGTTCTCACCTTTTCACACCCAACAATAGACTCACAGGACAGTATGGAAGAAAAAAAGGAAGACATAAAGCAAGATAAATCAAACAAAGGCAGAAAAAAAACAGAAACAAGATTTCTAAGAGGATTTGAAAACAGATGAGGCAGAACAAGAAGCAGGACTCCCGGCAGGAAGGTGGATGTTAGAGGGAACGCTCACCTGCTGTCTGTGTCCAAACCCACAAAGTCCTTCTTCTCAAATGGCACACAGAGGAGCTGGATCTTGTCTCCAGACTTATCCGTGGCCCGGTCCAGACGCTTGGACTCTAAAACGATGAAGATGGACTCCACAAAGTCCTCGATCCTCCTCTCTACGTCGGAGCAATCCTGGAAGCTGGGGTAGAAGGCCACGTCGGTGCGCTGCTGCTCGGCGATCTCCCCCTGCAGCCCGAACACCAGCAGGCGCGAGTCGTACAGGGTGGAGCTGTACACCTCCTTCTGGCCGTGGAAACGCTCGGCGGTCTGCGGCCAGTCCTTGACCGAGTCGCACGCCGTGATGCAGACCAGCCCCACCACTTTGCGGTGCGTCTGGAAGTCGCCCCACTCGTTGTTCTCGGGCAGGTAGTGGTGGCGGTAGCGGATGTAGAGGAGACGCTGAGAGTCCCTGATGTTCACCTGGTTTACGCTGGCGATGCGCTTGTAGATCTTGAAGAACTGGTCCTCGGGAACGATGCCCACCGGTTGGACCACCACCAGGACCGTCTGGTGGTCCTCGGCGCACTGCATGTAGTCTGGGACGCTCATCGTCATATGCAGCTGTACGGAGACAGATCTGTTCAAAAACAATCAGAGCATCACAGTGTTCGTGAAAAAATAATCCTCATTAAACACATTGAAGTTTTTGGAAAACAACCAGAAAGAATGTGTTTGATGATCAGAAAGTGAAAATGTGGATCTAGAAAAATTCTATTTATTAGAGATGATTAAATTTAAGTAGCAAACTATAGCAGAGCAGCTCTGATTTGCTAAAATATTTGCTTTCAATACAAAACATCACTAAAAATCAACCCTGTTTCAAAGAATTTCTCTTCATTTTAGTAGATCAGTTTTTGGTCTTTCGGCTTTAGCATCGATGCACCAAACACACGGCTAATCTTGACTTAATTAGCTTCTATTTATGTTTGGGAGGTCAAATATAAAACAAATATGTTTGTATTGTTCACCATTTTTCACTATCTTAATATTTTTGTTTAATTTAGTCTTTATTTATACATGCAGTCTGATTAATTCAGGATCTCATAAAAAAAAAAGACCTGATTAAAGGTACACTATGCAACCGGTGTTGATTTTCCAGCGAGACTCCCCCCAGAGGGCGAAAGTAAAAGTGCACTGTCGTAAATATGCACAGCTGTTCTCCTGGTTTCTCCGTCAAGCCAGGCGCGGTTGTTTTGAGCTTAGCAGACAGGCGAACGCAACGAATGACTAATGCTGCGTTCACACCGCAGCTGGCGCGACAGAAGCAGCGAGTTTACATGCAAAGTCAATGGTTGACGCGCGTCAAGGCGCAGCAAAGGAGCAGCAGGCCCAGCGCGTCTGAGCAGCTGAAGCAGGGAGAGAGACACAGCGCTGATGATCAGAGGCTATGATCTCTCCTCTTAAACAGTTTATTGACGCCTAAATTAACTTAAAATGCAGAAATCTGCCGGCAGAATATGCAGTTTGGATTATTTAGATGAAAAACACCTACCAGCTGCCGCGGTGAACCGCGAGGACGTGACCTGGCCAGAGGCTGCTGATGAAGGGGTTCCTTCTGTCGGCGCACCGCTGGTATGTGGGGGTCTGAGCGGCTCCGACAGAAAAAATATTGAAGGCAGGATAATAATCTGAATGAACTGACGGCACTGATTACGTTTTCAGGTGTATTTTCTCATTTAAACACATATTAAAACTACTTTATTCCAAATGATCACAGCAAATATAGCTGCAAGGCAGAGAAAGGATAGTGAAGCTCCGCCCAACGCGCGTCAGACACACTTTTGCACCGCACAGCCAGAGCGTCAGAACTAACTGTTTCAAGCAGCAAAAATTAAGCAGCAGACACGATTTTGCTGCTTTTGCTGCGTGAACGTAGCATAACTGCACAAGGATCGCCACTGTGCTAGCAACGAGAATGCTTTTAACTGGGGGGTGTAGCAGTTCTCGGCCGTAAAGCAAGACTGACTCTCACGAGACTTCTGAGCCTGTGGGTGCGGGTCGGTGCTCCTGCAATTGCAAGTGCAGTATTTCCCCCACAGACCACCAGGGCGGCCGAGAATACCTTTGTTCAAGTCTGAAATGAATCATTTAATCATCCAAAACGTTATGGAACACATTAATTAACTGAAAAATGTTGCATAGTGTGCCTTTAAAGGAAAGAATTTTCAGTATTTGAATATATAAACAGGCGCTTTGCTGATCTTTTCTTTCTTTGTTTATAGAACCAAAATCTAGTAGGTGGCGTGATTTGTTCAGAATCAAACTACCTTTAGTTAAAAACACCAACATGTGTGTTAATCCAAAGATTATAAAAAAGGGAAACTTTCCTAACTGCAGATCAGACTTAAACTGAAATCCTAAAAGCTTAATGTGTTCATCTATGGTTTAAAACATTAATAATAACACATCCTGTAATAAATAAAGATTTTAATTCAAAAAATTGTTCCTTTCTTCTCAGGTTTATAGAAAACAAAGAATCTGGATAATAAGTAGTCTACAAGAAGAGTGTAAACTCTCCTATCCTGGCTTCTCTTCATTGGCTTCCTGTTAAATCAAGAATAGAATTTAAAATCCTCCTTCTCACATATAAAGCCTTAAATGGCCAAGCTCCATCTTATATCAGAGATCTGATTGTTCCTTATGTTCCTAACAGAACACTTCCCTCTCAATCTGCAGGTTTACCAGTGGTTCCTAGAATTTCTAAAAGTAGAATGGGAGGCAGATCTTTTAGTTATCAGGCTCCTCTCCTGTGGAACCAACTACCAGTTTTAGTCCGTGAGGCAGACACCCTGTCTGCTTTTAAGGCTAGGCTTAAAACTTTCCTTTTTGATAAAGCTTATAGTTAGAGTGGCTCAGATTATCCTGAGCTATCTCTATAGTTATGCTGCTATAGGCTTAGACTGCTGGAGGACATAGAGATTTATTTTGTCATGTTGTATACATGAGTGTATACAAAAGGAAATTTAATTTAAAACAACTCTAGACAATTTCATTTTTAAAGTATAGCCTTGAAAACAGTAATAAATACATAAAAAATAGTAATATAAACATATGACTAGGGACCCCCATTTCATCATTCTGCTTCATTCTACTTCTATTCTCCTATTCTGCAGAATCTGTTAGTTCCATCTCTAACTTTATGCTCTCTCTGCTTTTTCTCATAGTAGCTTTACCTCGTCTGTTCCTGTTTGGCTGTGACTCCATCCTGGAGAGAAATATCAGCTGTGCTGTTGTCATTATTTGTTATAGATGTTGGAAATCGGCCTGTTTTCCAGTGTAGTCCTGTTTCTCTGACTGTGCCTGGCTGGATGTACTCTCTTCATACTGGCTCAGTTCTCGTCTGCCTGGCTGTGTGTTTCCTGGACCGGGCCGCCTTTTACAGCTGCTTTTTGTATCTCTGCTTCTGTCTCCTTGAACCCCAGTCGGCCTCAGCAGATGGCCGCTCACACTGAGTCTGGTTCTGCTGGAGGTTTCTTCCTGTTAAAAGGGAGTTTTTCCTCTCCACTGTCGCTACAAGCATGCTTAGTGTGAGGGACTGTATTTGAGTCAATGAGTCGATGCAATCAACAGGTTTTCCTTAGATAGAAAACTTTAAATCAAACTTAAACTTAAATCAATTTGACTGGATGATCTGGTGAACTGCAAAATGCCTTGAGATGACATGTGCTGTGAATTGGTGCTATATAAATAAACTGAATTAAAATTAATAAAAAATAACAGAGAAACTACCCAATATTGTACTCAATGGTGGCTCATAGATAAACTCTTGAGGTCTTTTGTTGACTAAACCTCCTAAAACTTTTTTACCCTGTGAAACATTTAAAGCTGCATTAAACAGACAATATATATCATGTTTGGTTTGGCTTCTTAGTATAAGTAATTCAGCATAGTTGATCTAATAAAGGATCAAAATCTTCTTCCCATTATTAATATTTAGCTCATTTTGTGGTTTCACAAATTCCAACTGTTTCAATTTACATTTTTATCATTCTAGTTAAGGTTTGACTAAATAGCCTAACTCATCTGACCCAGTGTCTATAAAACTAATAAAGCAGTGCTTTATTTGGGAGCTGAAATAGAGGATTTGCTCACAGTAAGGAAAACAAATTAAAATCAATCCTCTGTTGAATTAAACTGATGCTGCACCTGCTGCTGTCTTTGTAAACAATGTAAACAATGCAGCTTTGATCAGTCCGCAGTGAACTATCAGGGAATAAAACAATGGAAAATAATTTACCAGATATGTTATTTTATAAGCCATTTAATTATTTCCCCATACAGCTTTTCATTCAGTGCTATTCTGCTATAAATTACTACAAGTGTTAGCTAGCTTAGCTTAGCTGCATGATAAACAGACGCTGCTAACAGCTATCAAACAGCAGCGACACAGAGTTTAAAGCCAAAGACAGGTTAGCGAAGATTATCTTAGACACATTTAAGGTTTTAAATGAGTAACATTCATTTATAAGCATCGTTACCTCAGCTGTTGTCTGTCAAATCTTACAGCTTCCTTCTTCTAGAGCCACTTTACCAACATCCGGTCAGCCAGCAACTCAACTTCCGGACATATTTTCAAATTAAAAGCTCCAATCATGTTCGGGTTGTGTTAGAATTAGAAATGCCGCTTTAAATGATTAGTTTTTTATTTACCCTTTATGTCCAAGGGTGACTTCCATTCTTCAAAAAATTAAGTTTTAATTAGTGATGGGTCCAGCCACACCGAAGTGTCGGTGTCGAGCCCATAGTTCATCAGTTTCAGTTTAGTCTGTCCAATAGACTGCCTGTAGTGTCTTTAAAGATCCAGCAGGTGGCAGTATTCTGTGAAACAGTATCAAGTCAGCATCAATACAGTTTGGCTTCAAGATGCCTCATTAACCATCACTAGTTGTAACCATTAAAAACCTACTGAAACCTGCATTTGTTGTTTTAAAACTATTAGTTGAGTCTTTATCATTTTTGTCCAATAGTCATTTTGGAAGATACAGAGTCCAACATACAAATCTGGACCCTCAGGTTGCAAACACCTGAGATGAACTGGTCTTAAGCATATTAAGCTTCTTAACGATGTCACAGTCAATGTTTTGGAGCGACCATTGCTTAGCCCTGATTGAAAAGATGCTACCAATCAAAGCTGCCAATAAACCTGAGAAAGATGCATCAATTTTCAAGTAAGGAGACCGAGGACATTTGCTTTAAATAATTTTCCTCTAACCACAAACACACTACAGAAGGGGCCTTCAACGTTTTCCAGGCCAAGGATCCCCAAACTGATGGTGAAGCGGAGCGTGATCCCTTAATATATATTGTATGAAATAGTGTTATATCAAACTGGTCTTACAGTCACTCTATTGCAGATGGAGTAATGTAACGAAAGTAATTTCTCCCTGGGATTATTAAAGTATTTCTGATTCTGATTCCTGGTTGATAGGACAGGTGTTGTGAATGAAACGGTGCCCAGCTTGAAAGAGCTCCTGTGTGTCGCTGAATGTGAGCATTGATGACTGAAAGACATCTTCTGCCTCCATCTATCTGTTTACTACAGTGTGTTGAATTCATGTTAATCTGGATTTAAAGACTTTTCAATTAGTGGGGGAAAAAGCAGGGGGGAATATGAAAAAAAAAGTCTAACCAACCAAAACTTTTGCAGCCCCCATGCAGCACTGCCATGGACCCCCTGTTGAAGACCTCTGCATTACACTGATGGCGACTGATTGTGCACAGCCTCACACCCTAGGACAGAAGATCCTTTCAAAATCATCCATATTTATCTTCTCATGTGGCGTTTCTGTCATGCGGTCCAGACAGTTTGTATGATTCTATTACAGCTAAATTAGATTGAATCATTTAGTTTACTTCAAAGTCACATGGTCAGCATGACTTGAAAGCAAGGGCATAGCTTTGATATCATCTTTGGTAGGGACACTATTGGTCTTCAGTTTCCTTGGTCTGATGTTATTGGTCCTTTGCAAAAATATGCAAGATATTTTTTTTATGCTTGACATGAGCATCATGGCACATTTCATTTAAAGAGAAAAGCAGCATTTCTTGCTACATTTATACAAAATGTATAAGAACTATACACACTAGATGCTGTTTAACAATGTTTGAAGCATCACTGGCTCTTATGCATGTGAGGGGTTTCAGTTCAACTCAACAGTGACTAAGACAGTAGGTCAATATGTGTTTATTTAACCAAACATAGCCTAAATATGTCTGTTATATGTGGATTTATCCTGCGTTTCCTTTTGAAGATATAGAATTGTGCAGAAGTAAACAGAGGTAAACCCCACTGTTATTTTTTTTATCTAATATGCTCTCTATATAATGCAAAATAATACATTCAAGGGATGGCGAATAAATGTATTGTATTTACATTTGCACTGAAACTATAAGAGGAACTGACACTGAGCATTTAAAATATTAACTTCACTATACAATTTGTACATCTGGGCTGTTGTAACTCTGTGTCGCCCATTTCATGTATTTTATCTACGGCTGAAAACATCTATCGGATTAATTGATTATTTATATAATCATCAACTAATTTAGTAATTGATTAATCGTTAACTGGAGTATAGAGACTCTAAAACATGACTTTAGCTGACAGAACGACCCACTTAGAGCAGGTATATTATATTATATATCATTGTGATTATAAAATATATAAACATTTTGCATTTAAGATAAAAAAAAAATGTTTTTCTCTGTCATAAAAGATCTTCTTTAGGGAACCTTTGGCTATCCGATTATTAATTTAAAAAAAGTAATTGACAGATTAATCAATTTGCAAAATAATCGTTAGTTGCAGCCCTAATTTTATGGAAACATTCCAAACAAATTTCTTACATAATACATCTGAAGTGGAGATAACAGCAAAACAAACAAACATGTTAATCAGGCAAACTATAGTAAAATTAATGCGGCATCATTTGTGAGCCCCAGCAGAGATCACAGGATCAATGATTTAACTAAATGAAACTCTCACCTGAAGCCACTTCTCTGTCTACCTGTGCTGCAACATAATCACTCATTGTTCGAGTTCCCTAAATTCAGCCATATCAAATACAAAATGATATTTATATTGTATATAAATAATCTGTGATTAAAATCGTTTAGACATCACCTGAACCAAATCAAAATACTCTCTCTTGCTTCTTTACAGAAGGACAATCAGCAACGTATAGACGATATTTAGTTTTTCAATTGGGACTAGTTTCGTACCCTAATATTAATTGTAGTAACAGTGGTATTCTAGCGTCAATTTTCTTTTTATTATGCGCCCCCAAGCGCGAATAACACATGGACAAGAAAACAAACAATCAGAAAGAGAGAAGGCGGAAATTAAGGGAGTAAAATCAGAGTGGAGTTAAATAGCATTTAAGTGTGCTGCGCTGGGGTGGGGGGGGGTTCTATTCAACAGACCCAAAATGATGGCCGCTCACACTGAGCCTGGTTCTGCTGGAGGTTTTTTCCTGTTAAAAGGGAGTTATTCCTCTCTACTGTCGCTACAAGCATGCTTAGTGTGAGGGATTGCCTTCAAGTCAATGAGTCGATGCAATCAACTGGTTTTCGTTAGATAGAAAACTTTAATCTGACTGTATGATCTGGTGAACTGTAAAGTGCCTTGAAATGATATGTGTTGTGAATTGGCGCTATAGAAATAAACTGAATTTAATATTTAACAAAATATATTCATGTCACGTTTTTGTTTTCATAAACTACCTATAAAAAGCACCTCTGAATTAGATCTTTGTCCCAGATGTTTCGAATAAACAGCTTTAAATAAATACAAGATCAGGTATAAAATTTATCCTACCGGCATTCAGAAATGTTTCATTATATTGCAATATAAATCATCTTAATACGACAAAGACTCGTCTCTTTTTATAAAAAGAAGAGTGTGAAGGAGATGGTTGTTGTCTGCCAAAATGGCAGACGACAAGGTGTTGTAACCGTCCCCAGTCCTTTAGCGACAGAAATTAACTTTTCCATAATTTTGAGTCTGGACTGGAAAAAAAACCTGCCAGCTTTAGTTCATGTCAGAAGAAAAGGCAACTTTATAGAGTTGACAAGAAGTCTCACCTTCAGAATTTGCTCACTGAAACTAAATTTATGATGTTCTAATTTAATCAACGGTCCAAACAAACCCAAACAATTAAAAGAACCAACGCTCTGTGGAGCCAAATAAATGACCCAAAAAGTTTTTTTTAACTTCTTTATTTTCAACCCATAAATCATTTCTCACAATCTTCTCGGAAGACAACCACTTTTTAGTCCCTATTTTCAACAGTTTTCTTTTGTTTTTGGCCAAGGGGAATTGGTCCAAAAGTAACACAGAGTGGAATGTCTAAGGAATGATTCATGGTGAACGTACATCAACGGCAGGCATACATCCACAAACAATGCACAGAAATCACAGGAGACATGTTTGCAGAAGGAATGGAGGGGGGGGGGGGGGGGGTGCAAACAGGCGGAGGAACCGCTAAACATGGAAATGGTTAGTTATACTTCAACCGAGGTCGATTTGTGGAATGTGCTGAGAAAGTTGGTGAAAGTTTCCCAAAGTTTAAGACTGAGTTGTGTCAAACACTCCGTCATTGTTCACCATTTTAAGTAGCAGCTATGAGGTTAAAGGAGCGGGTAGGAAACACGCTAACACTGCAGACTTTAGAGAGCTGATCTATTGGCACTACGGCTCTGAGATGGAGGCAAATTTTAAGCAGCCTTCTTTCCAGGTGTTGGCTTTTAAAGGACCAAAACAAACCTTTGGAACCAGTTAGGATCCCGTGTTCCGTCAGACCAGCATAACCACAGCCAGTACGCATGAGCCAAACGTCAGATTTCAGTTTATCCCTTTAGTTTTGTATAAAAAATAGACTTTAAACTACCTCGACAGGTGTGTCAAGTACAAAAACAACAATTTAAACTCAGATCGCCTTACGCTTCAAAAAACACCAAAAACTACGTAATTTAATTGTTTTTTTGTCCATGACTAGGGAATACACACCCCTTGAGGTAGTTTAAAGTGTATTTTTCATATAAACCTAAAGGAATAACTCAAATCTGACGTCTTGCGCATGCGTATTGACTATAGGTATGCTGCTATGACAGAACGCAGGCATTTTACTTTAATGGAAAACTAAACAGAATCCGTTTTGAATAGAAATCAGAAGATGCTGATTCGTTTGACCGTTTCTTTGGTTGGTTGTGTAAGTTGAAGCAGATTGGTCCAAACAAATGCTACATTATTGTAATGTAAAAAGAAAAACCGACATGTACATGTGACTCATTTTGGATCAGTAACAGACTTTATCAAACTTTAAGAGTTTAAACTTTGAGGGCTTGTGTTCCTTCAGTGGATCATGGTGTAGAAATGATGAAATACTGATTAAGGCGGTTAACTCATAATGATGATGATGATGGTTAGAAACAGAAAGCTTCCGAGTTGATTCTTATCATCCAGTGGATTAGTTTAATCTCCAGCCATCCAGCAGCCATGGCTAAGATTAGTTTAACCTCATTGATTCCTGCTGGATTTGGAGCTGCTTCATAACTTTTAGTCTAACAGGTGTAAGGATCTAAAAAAAAATAGATTAAGACTTATTTTCAGTAAAGAGGGGAATGTTTTTCTTTAGATTGATTCAAGATATTTGGCATTCTTCTTGATGGCGTAGAGAGGGTGCAGACGCTGTCAGTGACGGGGCTCCGGGTGGAGGGAGGAGGGGGTCGGCTTTAGAAGGAGCGCCGTCCTCATGCCAGTTTCAGGAACTGTTCCACTGTATCTGCTTCCACTGCCTCTGAAAACATCTCATAGTTCTGTGGAGAAAGAAGAAATCGTCTCAAAAAGGTGAATCAGAAACTTGAAACGCCTGAAGAGTCGACTCTGAATTAGTTTTCCAATGATTGATAAACAACAGATCTGGTAACAGGTGAAAAGACTTTCTTTAAAGTGTTGATGACACAACATTGACATTTTCTAGTATTTTTTTTAGACTAAAACATTAACAATGATTAATTGCCGAGATCAAATCCAGCGGCTGCGTCCTCTGAAGACCAGATCTGTCGGTCGATTATGATGTAGCACGGCGCCGAGGCCTGTTTGGATTGGAAGTCTGCTTGTGATGCGACCGATAAATGCGGCCTGGTTTTTGTCTGTTTTGAAGGACGGCTCGGGTGTATCCTACGTAGCCTTGGGTATCCCATGATTCATTGCGAGTCCAAGCAAACCAGCTGCTCTGTGCTCAGAGGAAAAAGGTCAATGGCGCCGAACAGTGGTGAATATTGGAAGTGCAGTTTACTATAGTAAAGTGTGTGAATAATTCCATCGGAAATCAATGAAAATAGTTGTTGTAAAAGGTTATCGACTCAGATATGTGGCTGCAATGTTTGGTTTATTGAAAGGTTTTATCTGTGTAAATGGGTTTGCCTAACATTTAAGCTCAGATTCTCTGGAGTGTGGCGACTATAAATCTGATATCTGAGACGACGGTACTGCTGATAAAACTCCTTGAAAATGTTATTAGCACTCAGAACAGTAATGAGAAGAACAGCCTGCATTCTGTGTCAATTTTCCTGGACTCAGTACAGGTAGACCGGGTCATCGGAGGATGGAGCCGCTGAAATCTGCTTCTGTCTCCTTGAACCCCAGTGGGCCTCAGCAAATGGCCGCTCACACTGAGCCTGGTTCTGCTGGAGGTTTCTTCCTGTTAAAAGGGAATTTTTCCTCTCCACTGTCGCTACAAGCATGCTTAGTGTGAGGGATTGTATTTGAGTCAATGAGTCGATGCAATCAACTGGTTTTCCTTAGATAGAAAACTTTTTATCAATTTGACTGGATCATCTGGTTGAACTGTAAAGTGCCTTGAGATGACATGTGAATTTGGCGCTATATAAATAAACTGAATTGAATTGTTTAGAATAATTTCAAGGGCGCCTGCATTAAATAGTTTTAATCAAAACACCTCAACCATTCAGAGGACTCTAGCGCCGCTCAGTGACTGGGTGATGTATACGGTGGAAGGACTGAGCTGAAACAATGGTTTTGTTACAGACAGCTGCTGTTTTCATGGTTTTTAGCTTCTGTCATACTGAATTCAGAGGCTAACTTCATGATAATAGCATGGCTCTGTTCTTGTTCATTTAAAGTATAATATACACATTTATTCTTTATAAACTAATTACTGGTTATGCGATCTGTACCACATGCATAGTAAACCTTGTTTCACAGTTTTGTGTTTTTTACCGGGGCTGCTAATGTCAAATTAACGTCATCCTCTGGCTCAGAGTCTGACTCTGTACGCTAGAGGTAAGGTGTGGGCCTCCATGTTTCACAGCATCACTACCCTCTACTGATGGATCAGCCATGCAAACCAATCCCAGAGATTCTAGAAAAATCTGTTTTCCATCCATCTCCATTATAGAATGTTGAGCTAGCTCCAAAAGATCCCCACGCAGAGATGGTTTGTATTAGCTATAAATTGAAATGCTGCTGTGGCGCTGCCAAATGTTGGATATTTGTATTAAAATTAAGCTTGATTTGTCCTGCTGCATGATTTTAATGCAAAATGACATTAAATAAATATTGCGTCAACAACGCAAACTTATGCAATCGGGTTATTGCAGAAATGATATTTTTTCCTTTTGCTTTTATGGTCAAAAGAATTTTATAATAAATCAGAAATTTAATAAGGTTTATGGTTATGATGAAATGGTTATTCGATTAAAGCTGTTATGTTTTGACTTTTTAAATAAAAAAAATTATTTTTATCCATTTTAAAATCTAAAGTGTTTTTTGAAGCAGAGAACAACAATCTTTAAGTTTGGTATATAAATACCTGAACTGACCTATTTTCTTCTTCTTTCTTTTTCTATGACTTAATGAGAGCAGTGGGCTTTAGGCTGACCTGCAAGGCTTTAATTCAGCATATTCTAAAAAATGTCTTCATTCCTTTGTGTTATAGAAAGATTCTGTTGATTGAGGAGTAAACTCTGGTTTTAAGAAAATTGTCCTTAATTGATTAATCAGTCGATCAAAAAGAACAATCAACTTTAGATTAGTTTATTATTTGATAACTAGTCTAATTTACAAAACAGTTTTGTTATAAACAGTCTGAGGATTTAATTAGAACAGACTGAAAACAGAAAGTGTTTCTTTTATATTTGTTTCCTCACCCCACAATACTGGTCCTCATTGAAAAACTGAGGCGGGGCTGCGGTGGAGTCGCCCGCTTTGCTTCTCATTTCCTCCCGTAGCTCACCGCCCACAGAGATGTCGATCAGCTCGTACTTAATGCTTTTGCTGTCCAGAATCCGGAGGACCTCGGCTTGTTGAGACTTCACCTGAAAAACACAAGGTCTCAGTCAGACACAGCGTCTGGTTCCCATCGGCTATCAGCAGTCGTCCTGCTTTAAAAATACCTCAAATATCATCAAAGGTTTCTATCATTCCCCCCTACGAAGGTTAAAAATCACATCAGCATTGCTTTAAGTTTACCTACTAAACCTGCAGGCTGTGAAAAGTCAGCAAATTGTGAGTTTTTACAGCTTTATTGTCAAAAAAGTCACAGAAACCAACAATGCAGTTAATTTAAAGTCAATTCTAAAAGAAATATTTAAACTATAAAATGAACTAAAACGTTTCATCTAAATGAAAACAAGCCAATTTGAAAGTACGGTAAAATGATCCAAATGTAGCTGATTTGCTCCCATTAATGATCTGCTGTCAATCTGTGGGGACAAAGGAAGTCGACTTTTCAAACAATGTGACCACACCTCAAAAAAAAAAAGGAAAAACAACTGAACCATAAAACAGATTCTTTCAGGCCAGAGTTACTTCCTGAAACAGGACAGAAAAAAGCGGAACCGTCTGTCACTTGTTCCAGGAAGTCCCCAAATCGACTCTGATAATGAACAATCCTCTAGTTTCTAGATGAGGAACAACACAGGGTTTGGTTTTTTTTTAAGTTCTGCTACTAAAGTAAGTAGACCCAGAAAAGCAGCAACTTCTAGAAACAACAGGAAGCTCGAACACTAGAGGGTTAAAAAGTAATGAGCTCCTAATAGATACCAGATGGAGGAGAGTCTAAAAGCTGCGAGTCCTTTTATGAAGCTGCTGCACAAGAAGAGACTCACTTCATACCAGTGATGTTCACTAATGACCAAATAATCCAAAACACCTGACAAAAGAAACACCTGACAAGACGTCAGAGAAAACATCCAGAATTAAAGACATTTTTTACATGAAACATAACAGATTAGTTATTTATTATTAGCAGTAGCTTAAAACCCCATAATAACTTTCTATTTTCATCTCTTAATGTCAATTTGATGCGTTTCTACACAAGAAAAGAGAGAAATTAATGTGAAGTAATTACAGTTGGGTGTGAATCGTGCTCACGACAGGAAGTGGGTATGAAGTAAAGGTTCCCCGCAGTGTTTACCCCCGTTTTTTTGCAAATAAAAGCAGGTTTTTGTAATTAAACCCTTTTAAATGCTTAAGATCAGGAAAAAATTATCAAATCCTCTCATTAGTTTATATTGATGCATTCAATATCCAGAGACCAACATTGTCTCAAATCGTGCTGCTTAAGGTGGTTGCATGTTGGAGTAGCTTTATATCCAAACTGCAACAATATTTAAGTTCCCTTTTGATTAATAAAGTATTACTTCATGGTGATTTAATTCAATATCAATATATTGATATCAATATCATTAATTCAGTATCAAAGGCAGCAATATTTCATTTCCTTCAGCAAAGAGAAAATCCAAATTTAAACTGGAATCCTGCTAAAAATGCTTGACCTTCCCAAAAATGATGACGCCCTGGGTGGAAAGCCATGTAACATTTATTGTTAGTATTATAAGTGAGTGTACAGAAAATAAAACATTTTTTCAATATTTTATTCCAGGGTTTTTCTTTGAAAGCAATATCTTGGCATGTTGAGCCCTTTTTTTGACCCGTTCACATCTAGTGTGAGCATCCCTTGCAGATTCCCATTGCCCAAATTAAAAAATTTAATTTTATGCAACTTAACTGCTAAAACATAAAACCCAAGAATAAAATACTCCAACTTTTTGTTACAAAGCAAACCACGGCTTAATTCGGCTATCATCTATAAATCATAACTGATTGTATCAGCAGCTAAACATCCTTTTTAGTGTCGTCCAGTTTAGCTAGAAAGAGGGCTTAAAGTGACTGTTTTATGCATGAGGTTTGGCGGGAGGTCCCAGCCTGCAGAAAACAAGTCGATTAATGTGTCGAGTTTGGCTAAACTGGAAGATTATTTGGATTTAGGATTATTTGGAAGAGAATGGATGAAATAAAGCTAGTTTATTTGTCCAGTGGAGAAACAAACGGAGCTCCAGCAGTTCAGGTAAAAAGAGAGACACCTGCCTCAGGTCGCCATTACCTTCACACTTATGTTTTAGGATGATTTTAAGAGCAGAGAAAGTTTCACAAAGCTAGAATATTTAAATAAATGATAGCAGCAACGTTGATCCCGCAGAGGCCCGCTCCAGTTAGTCAGGAGGAAGCAGATAAGGTGCTGGGTGTGTCTGTTCATTATTAGCAGATCCATCGGAGCTTAAAGTCCGCTTTTAGCGGGAGGCCAGGACGCCTCGGCCCGCTTGACTTACCGTCCGTGAAGCGGTGACCGTGGTGTAGTAAACTTTGACCCCCATCTCTGCAGGTTCAGGCTCTCTTTGTAAATCCGCCGCTGGAAAGTAGCTCCACTCGAGAGCGTCAAGTTCAACAGCTGGAGATTCAACCGGAAAACAAAGGTTTCTTTCAAAATAAAAGTTCAGTTGGGGTTTTAAAAAAAAACCAGACAGCATCCTGTATGGAAATCCAAACATGCCACAAGCAAAATAATAGAATTCTTAATAGAATAGTTATAATACATTAAAACTAAGTTACTAATTCACAATTAAGGGATTGTACAATGGAATCCGCTTATACTGGTCATGGATATAATCATCAAACGCTTATATAGATCAAAAGACTTGGGACAGAATAATTTTTATACAAAAGCTGTTTAAAAAATGTATTTATAATAATCAAGAAATGCACTTATAGTGTTCATTTTTGGCCATTTTATGAATGTAAACAAGTGCAAAGGTAATTTTAAAATTATGTGTAGCCTAGTAATTTAATTTTTTTTACTCCAATGATTCCTCTGAGGTACAAGAGGGATTTGCTGCGGGTACCAGTGCTGCGCACAGCGAGGAGGAGGAGGAGGATGGAGAAGAAGAGACTGCTGTCCCTTCCAGAGCTGACATGAGGAATGCAGTTTGCATTTTAAAGACTGGTCTCCTACATGTTGGTTTAAAAAACTTTTACCTTTTAAGTTGTTTTGAAAAAGAAATGAACTTGGTGTTGGACAACCCTCTGATTTGTTAATGCGACGCAGCAGAACACAAAACAGACGTAGGCTAGCTTTAATTTTCTGTAGCCTATGCAGTTATCTTCTGTGTTGCTGTTCTATGAAACCGTTTGTTTGTTTCAAACTTTATTTTCAGACATGTAAAAAAAAAATACACTGGTTGCACAGCAGATGGACGCACAGTATAAGTTACACAGACCTACTGTAGGCTATCATAGTTATGTTTCCACACTGCACAGTACTGTGCTGTGATTATGCTTTTATTTCAAACTTTATTTTTAGACTTGTTAAAAAAATGCACTGGCGGCACAGCAGAGCCGACGCACAGCACATAATAAGTTACATGGACAACAAGAGTTATGTCTGTGCACAGCACTGTAATTAAACTTGCATGGTACTGTAATAAAATTCATAAAATGCAGAAGCTATCCGTTTCATTTCATTTTTCTCATTGAAAAACCATACAATTGGCATTTAGATGATGTTCTGCATAAAAAGTAAGTGAAATAACGGTAAATTCGGTTTTACTAATATAGTGTTCAAATTGGCTCTGCACCAACATGACCTCTATAAGCGGATTCCACTATACATTCAAACTGGGATTTGAAGTCATTGAATATTTATCAGTTGAAACTAAATATTTTTTTCTATTAATAACTGCAGAGTATTTTTATTTTTTTTCTTTCTGAGATGTTTCTTTTTCCTAGTGGTTCAAAACGCGTCATGAAGCCTTTTGAAAAATTGGCAAACTATTGTTTCCATACTGTGTCACTGAATACTGACACCTGCTGGACATTTAAAGACACTACAGGCAGCCTCTGATGGACTAAACTGACCCTGATTTGATGGCCTATATTAAAATCATATTTAAAACCATTGTTTGCTTTGATGTGTTATTTTATATTTTCATTTAAATTGGAAAATATGTTTCAAATTTTGAGATAGATTTTTAGACAAGCCTTACATTTGAACCAATAAAAGGAATATTTAAATGAGTGTGTGGGACTAAGATTTATTTATTTAACAGCAAACCAAGGGACACAGCAAGAACATTAAATCAAATATGAGATGAGAATGATCCTGCTCAGTTAGAACCTTTCTTTTCCCTTGAGGATGATCCTTTTTTCTTGATTAATTGATGATCAGATGATTTTTTTTTTTTTGGCAGATTTGTTGTGTTGACAGAAGCGCTTATAAAGACAGTTTAGTGTCAGATCGAAACAGCTCCTGTATCGGCCACGTGACTTTCTTGAAACAATTTTATGCCTCAAATTTTTCCTCTTCTTTACAGCTTAACTTCTTTCATATTATTTAGTCTTGAATTCACCTGTGGAATTTCCTTTATCTGCTATGTTTTTCTGCTGTAAAACCAACATTATGGAGGAGCAGGAGTCACTAAAAAAGGAAAACAGAAATTTCTAATTTAACATTTAAACAAGATCATTAAAAATGTAACATTATAAATGTAATTATTAAATTGTATTATTAATCCATTATTAAATACAGCAATATCAAAATGTGTTTCCATATCCCATTTCTAAATAGAGATTTATTTCCAAAAGTCAATGCAAAATCTCAGCACACCTAAAGGCACAGGTGCATAGGAAGAGGGCGTGGCCTAAGACTTGTCCACAGTTTAAAAAAAAACTTCCAGCACACTGTATCTCTCTACAAGGATTTATTAATATAACCTATATGAGTCGTAGATGTCTTTAAGGTTCTCTAAAAATGATCATATCTTCATCTCACCATCTTTCTCTGTCAAATTAAACCTTCTGGATCATTTCTCATATCTAGGAAATTTCTCTGGTGTTTTTCTCTTTTAATTTGGTGATTCTGATCTTCATCCCATCCTTTCTCTAATATTCCAACCATCTCTCATCTCAAATAGTCTCAGATAGCACTCTCTAAAATTAAATCCTAATCCACTGTTTTCACCACTAGGAATAATATTCACAAGCATTAGTTGTTTATATATAATTTATTATGTTAATATGGTCCTAGTTATGAATGTCACTAGTTATTTTCCACCCCTGCTGCTATTTTACTAAAAGAATTTCAATTAATCAACCCAAGTAGATTAATAACTTTACAGAGTATATCAGTTAATAAGAGGAGTATCATATAAAAACAAAATGAGGACAGAATAGTAGGAAAGGTGAGATGAGGGAATAAAAAAAGACGCTTTATTTGATCAAAATGACGGAAATCGTTGCAATTTTTGCAATTGTGCAGGCCCTGCCATAGCAAACAGTAAAGGTGTGTTTGCAGCTGTTATACAACAAGCTGGTTTATCAGGTTTGAGTAACATCTAAGAACAAATAGTGACGGGCTGATATTTACTCTAAACTACGGAAGCCCAAAGAGAGCATTAGGGATAAAGCACAGATTGTTGAAAAACTATTTATAGAAGGAAAACTGGAGTTAGTTGTTAAAATCAGGTTATTTCCCAAGTCTAAATCATGCCGACCTTTAGAATCTGGTTAAGCTGCAAAGCAGCTCCACTTCAGAGCGGTCATAAAGACATTTGCACTGTTTGGTTTTTCCTCTGGCTCCTTATGCTGCAGACCCTCATGACAAAGAATTCATGATGTCTTATAACCATCAAATAATTCACAGTTAAATTCAAGTATTTCTTTCACTATAAATTAAATTTATCAAACATCTAACAGTTTATCTAATATGTTTTTATTTGAAATAATGAATTGCAAATATTTGCTTAAACATTTAGTGTTGGACAGCTTGACAGTTTCTTTCCTATTTAAATTGTTAAGGCACAACTCTCTCACACGGTGGGAAAGTTCGTGGCGCTGCAGCAGATTTTTAAAGAGGTTAGAGATTCATAGACATCATAGTAATATCTTTGTTGTGTTATTTAATAAATCTAGCTTCAGTGTAAAAGAATAGAGCTAAGAATTAAATAAAGTTTCTAGGATTTTCAAAGCATTCAAATGTCCTTATTCATAAAAAAAAAAGAAACTAACTAAACTTGAATTTGGAGCCCAATATACTGCCAGGGTTCTGCCCTTTGTTAGGTTTCTTTTTAAGTTCTTAGTTTCACTGTAATTTTGTGTAATTGTAGTTGTTTTCCGGCAGTGTTTTGTTTTTTGTGTTGCTCTGTGTTGTCCCGTTGTTCCCGTCTCCTTTCCCCTAGCTTCTAGTTGCTTCCACCAACACCTGCTCCTTGTCAGCTTATTAGCACACTCTTTGTTCCGTCTACCATTTATATGCATATAACCCCAATTCACAACACATCGCCTAAAGACTCTTTAAAGAGACAATTCAACCAGATCATCCAGTCAAATTGGTTCAAAGTTCTCAATAAGGAAAACCAGTGGATTGCATCGACTCATTGACTCGAAGGCAATGCCTCACACTAAGCATGCTTGTAGCGACAGTGGAGAGGAAAAACTCCCTTTTAACAGGAAGAAACCTCCAGCAGAACCAGGCTCAGTGTGAGCGGCCATCTGCTGAGGCTGGTTTCAAGGAGATAGAAGCAGAGATACAAAAGGAACTTGTCAACCAGCTCCACAGGCGGCTCCGTTATACCCCTCTTTCTCAGTGTTGTTTCCTCACCGTTAATTTGCTCCTCATGTGTTTTTCCTGAAGTCTCCTGTTTTTTTCTATATTTTCTTTTTGGATTTTGCTTCTGTTGACATTGGACCTTCATGAAATCATCAAAAATGCATCTCTGCCTCCACCACCTGTTATATAGGATATCAGCTTTGGCATCATAATCTACCCCCCGTCCTACTGTCCTACTACTAGATCCCCTCTCTCAGTCTCTGGTTAGAGAGAATATAATCCCTCAGAATTAATTCAGTTATAAATATAATTGTTAATTAGGCTTATTCATTTTTTAACTTTACTTTTTAACTTTTCAATTAGCTTTTTACCTTTTTTTCTAGACTTGTTAACTTTTTTTAAAGCTTAAGTTTTTTCAGTGGGTGATAAATAATTCAAGGGCTCTTCTAATTGGTCAAATGCCAATTAGACAAAATTTTTAAGGGCTATGCAAGGGATCAAAAACGGTATCTTGCCCTATAAAGGGTTAAAGGGCTTTATGAATAAAGTGGAGTTATCTTCAGTCCATATCATTTCACAATCCAATGAAGCCCATCAAATTAAACCCAATTACATGCAACCGATGCAGTAGAGCCAACAGACAGCTGCCCATTAATGCATCTTTCTGAGGAAACCAGTTATAATCTGTCTACAATCACAGAGCTGCTGCTGGCGCTCTGAAACAATAAACCTTCAGCTGCTGACAGCTTCTTAAAAAAATATGTATTTTTTAACAAACTCACATAAAATCACAAGAGAGGTGAAGTTTCAGATTGCTGAGCTATATTTTAGCCTGTATTATGCTAATAAAATTGACCCAGAATAGACGAGTCATTAACTCTG